GGTGGGTAGATTGCAAGGTCAGGAGTTCGAGACCAGCCTGACCAACATGGTGAAACCCCATCTCTACTAAAAATACAAAAATTAGCCAGGCATGGTGGTGCACACCTATAATCCTAGCTACTCAGGAGGCTGAGGCAGGAGAATTGCTTAAACCTGGGAGGCGGAGGTTGCAGTGAACCAAGATCAGGCCACTGCACTCCAGCCTGGGCAACAGAACAAGATTCTGTCTCAAAAAAAAGAAAAGAAAAGAAAAGAAGGAGACATGACAACCAATACCACAGAAATTCAAAGGATCATTGGATCATTAAGGCTACTATGAGCCAATAAATTGGAAAACCTAGAAGAAATGGATAAATTCCTAGATACATACACTCTACCAAGATTTAACCATCAAGAAATCCAAAACCTTAACAGACCAATAACAAGTAGTCAGATCAATGCCATGATGAAAAGTCTGCCAGCAAGGCAGGCTGGGCACAGTGGCTCACTCCTGTAATCCCAGCACTTTGGGAGGCCAAGGTGGGTGGATCACTTGAGGTCAGGAGTTCCAGACCAGCCTGGCCAGCATGGTGAAACCTCATCTCTACTAAAAATACAAAAATTAGCTGAGCATGGTAGTGGGCGCCTCTAATTCCAGCTACTTAGGAGGCTGAAGCAGGAGAATCACTTGAACCAGGAGGCAGAGGTTGCAGTGAGCCGAGATCATGCCACTGCACTCCAGCCTGGGTGACAGAGTGAGACTCTGTCTTAAAAATAAAAATAAAATAAAAATAAAAAAGTCTCCCACCAAAACAAAGCCCAGGACCTAATGGTCTCACTGCTGTATTTTACCAAACATTTAAAGAAGAACTAATACCAATCCTACTCAAACTATTCTGAAAAATAGAGGAGGAGAGAATACAACTAAACTCATTATATGAGGCCAGTATTACCCTGATAACAAAAACAGGCAAAGACCTATCAAAAAAAGAAAACTAAAGGCTAATATCTGTAATGAACATTGATGCAAAAACCCTCATCAAAATACTAGCAAACTGAATTTAACACCACATTAAAAAGATTATTCATGGCCAGGCATGAGAATCGCTTGAACCCAGGAGGTGGAGGTTGCAGTGAGCTGAGATCATGCCATTGAACTCCAGCATGGGGGAACAGAGCTAGATACCATCTCAAAAAAATAAAGAAAGAAAATAAATGAAGAAGACACACAAAAAAATGGAAAGATATCGCATGTTCATGGATTGGAAGAATCAATATTGTTAAAATACCCATACTACCCAGTGTAATCTACAGATTCAATGCAGTCCCTATCAAAATATCAGTAACATTCTTCACAGAAATAGAAAAAATAATTCTAAAATTTATATGGAACCACAAAAGACCCAGAATAGTCAAAGCCATCCTCAGCAAAAAGAATAAAACTGGAAGACTCACATTACCTGACTTCAAATTATATGACAGAGCTATAGTAATCAAAACAGCATGGCACTGGCATAAAATAAACCATATAGACCAATGGAACAGAATAGAGAACCCAGAAACAAATTCATACACCTGCAGGAAACTCACTTTTAACAAAGGTGCCAAGAATATACATTGGGGAAAAAACAGTCTCTTCAATCAGTGGTGCTGGGAAAACTGGATATCCATATGCAGAAGAATGAAACTACACCCCTATCTCTCGCCATATGCAAAAATCAAATCAAAATGTATTAAAGACTTAAATCTGAGACTCAACGTATGAAAATATTACAAGAAAACATTGGGGAAACTCTCCAGAACATTGGAGTGGGCAAAGATTTCTTGAGTAATACTCCACAAACACAGGCAACCAAAGCAAAAATTGACAAATGGGATCTAAGGCCCAGCCTTAGATATTTCTTAAAAGAAGACATACAGGCCAGATGCGGTGACTCACGCCTGTAATCCCAGCACTGTGGGAGGCCGAGGCAGGTGGATCACAGGTTAGGCAGGTTAGGAGTTTGAGACCAGCCTGGCCAACATGGCAAAATCCCATCTCTGTGAAAAATACAAAAATTAGCTGGGTTTCGTGGCATGCTTCTGTAGTCCCAGCTACTGGGGGAGGCTGAGGCAGGAGAATTGTCTGGACCCAGGAGGCAGAGGTTGCGGTGAGCCAAGATCAAACCACGGCACTCCAGCCTGGGTGACAGAGCGAGACTGTATCCCCCACCAAAAAAAGAAAGACATACCAATGGCAAACAGGTATATGAAAAGGTGCTCAACATCATTGATCATCAGAGAAATGCAAATCAAAACTACAATAAGATATCATCTCACCTCAGTTAAAATGGCTTATATCTGAAAGACAGGCAACAGTGAATCCTGGCAAGGATGTAGAGAAAAGGGAACCCTCATATACTGTTGATGGGAATGTAAATTAGTACAGTCACTATGGAGCATAGTTCGGAGGTTTTCAAAAAACTAAATATAGAACTACCAAACTACCATATGATCCCAACAATCCCACTCTTAGACATATACCCAAAAGACAGGAAATCATTATATCAAGGAGATATCTGCTCTCTCATATTTACTGCAGCATTATTCACAATGACCAAGATTTGGAAGCAACCTAAGTGTCCATCAATAGATGATTGGATAAAGAAAATGAGGTGTATATACACAATGGAGTACAACTTAGCCATAAAAAAGGAATGAGATGGCTGGGCACCATAACTCACACCTGTAATCTCAGCACTTTGGAAGGCCAAGGTGGGAGGACCACTTGAGCCCAGGAGTTTGAGGCCAACCTAGGCAACATAGTGAGACTCGATCTCTACAAAAAAATAAATTTTATGGCCGGGCGCGGTGGCTCACGCCTGTAATCCCAGCACTTTGGGAGGCCAAGGCGGGCGGATCACAAGGTCAGGAGATCAAGACCATCCTGGCTAACACGGTGAAACCCCGTCTCTACTAAAAATACAAAAAATTAGCCGGGCGCGGTGGCGGGCGCCTGTAATCCAGCTACTCAGAAGGCTGAGGCAGGAGAATGGCGTGAACCTGGGAGGCAGAGCTTTCAGTGAACCGAAATTGCGCCACTGCACTCCAGCCTGGGGCACAGAGCGAGACTCCGTTTCAAAAATATATATATATATATATATATATATATATAAATAAATAAATAAATAAATTTTAAAAAATTTAGCCAGTCACAGTGGTGCATGCCTGTAATCCCAGCTACTCGAGAGGCTGAGGCAGAAGAAGCACTTGAGCCCTGGAGATTGAGGCGGCAATGAGCCATGATTGTGCCACTGTAAACAACCTGGGCAACAGAACAAGACCCTGTCAAAAAAAAAAAAAAAAAATGAGATCCTGTCATGTGCAACAACATGGATGATGGAATTGGAGACACTATGTTAAGTGAAAAAAGCCAGGTATAGATAGACAAACTTTGCATGTTCTCACTTATTTGTGGGAGCTAAAGATGAAAACAATTGAACTCATGGAGACAGAGTAGAATGATGGTTACTGGAGGCTGGAAAGCATAGTGGGTGGGTGGCAGGGAAGTGGGGATGCTTAATGAGTACAAAAATATAGTTAGATTAAATGAATAAGATCTAGTATTTGATAGCACAACAGGGTGAGTACAGTCAACAATAACTTATCGTATGTTTTTAAATAACGAGGCCAGGGGCAGGGGCTCACGCCTGTAATTCCAGCACTTTGGGAGGCTGAGGCGGGTGGATCATCTGAGGTCAGGAGTTTGAGACCAGCCTAGCCAACATGGTGAAACCCTGTCTCTACTAAAAGTACAAAAATTAGTCAGGCATGGTGGCAGGCATCTGTAATCCCAGCTATTTGGGAGACTGCGACAGGGAGAATTGCTTGAACCCAGAAGGCGGAGGTTGCAGTGAGCTGAAATCATGTCATTGTATTCCAAACTGGGCAACAGAGCAAGACTCCATCTCAAAATAAAATAAAATAACCAAAAGAGTATAATCGTGTCTGTAACACAGAAAGGATAAATGCAGCTGGACACAGCGGCTCACACCTGTAATTGCAACACTTTAGGAGGCTGAGGCAGGAGGATCACTTGAGCCCAAGAGTTTGAGACCAGCCTGGGCAACATCGGGAGACCCTGTTTTTAGAAAAAAAAAAATTTTTTTTTAATTAGCTGGGCTAATTGACACATGGGGACACGTGCCTGTGGTCCCTGCTACTTGAGAGACTGAGGTGGGAGGATTGCTTGAACCCAGGAGGTCAAGGCCACAGGAAGCCATGATTTCACCACTGCACTCCAGTCTTGGCAACAGAGCAAGACCCTGTCTCAAAAAAAAACAAAAAACGTTTCAACTTAAAGTATGCTTGAGGTGATGGATACCCCACTTACCCTGATGTGATTATTACAAGTTCTATGCCTGTATCAGAGTATCTCATGTACCCCATAAATATGTATGCTTACTACATAGCCACAAAAATTAAAAATAAAAACAAAAAATTAATTGTAATCCCAGCACTTTGGGAGGCTGAGGTGGGCAGATCACTTGAGGCCAGGAGTTCGAGACCAGCCTGAGCAACGTGGCGAAACCCCATGTCTACAAAAAATACAAAAATTAGCTGAGTGTGGTGGTATGCCCCTGTAGTCCCAGCTACTAGGGAGGCTGAGGTGGGAGGATCACCGGAGCCCGGGAGGTCGAGGCTGCAGTGAGCTGAGATTATTCCACTGCACTCCAGCCTGAGCGACTTTTAAATTTTATTTTTAATTTTAATTTTTCCATAAGTTATTGGGGTACAAGTGGTATTTGGTTACATGAGTAAGCCCTTTAGTGGTGATTTGTGAGATTTTGGTGCACCCATCACCCGAGCAGTATACACTGCACCCTATTTGTAGTCTTCTATCTCTCACACCCTCCTACCCTTCCCTGACTTTTTATTTTTAATTTAAAAAATGTTCAATATTTAAAAAGTTAAAAAAAAAAAAAAGGAAAGACACCATGTTTATTCATGAATATTTCTTAATCTATCCCTTCACTGTCTAGGTTTTTCTACAGCTCCCAGTAGAGCATAACTTTGCCATGGTTGTCCACACAAAAGCAGCAGGCCGGACCCGTATCAAGGTCACCGTTCACTGCATGAACAGTTCCTCTGGGCAGTTTGAGGGGAATTTGTTGGAACTCTCTGATGAAGTACAGATCCTGGTAAGCTTCCAAATCTAAATCTTTTTTTCGTATATTAAGGATAAGAAAGTTATATTCTCTTACCATCAACGAAGAGCTTATTCTGGATAGAGACAGATAATTGTTAGAGCGATTCCGGGAACAGGTTTGTACTTCCTAGATCTTTATCATTCCTGCTGATTGCTTGTATATAGTTTTTGTTTTTGTTTTTGTTTTGTTTTGTTTTGAGACAGAGTTTCGCTCTTGTTGCCCAGGCTGGAGTGCAATGGCACGATCTCGGCTCACTGCAAACTCCGCCTCCCGGGTTCAAGCGATTCTCCTGCCTCAGCCTCCCGAGTAGCATGTGCCACCAAGCCCAGCTAATTTTGTAATTTTAGTAGAAACGGGCTTTCTCCATGTTGGTCAACCTGGTCTCAAACTCCCGACCTCAAGTGATCCGCCTGCCTCAGCCTCCCAAAGTGTTGGGATTACAGGCGTGAGACACCGCGCCTGGCCTGTTTTTTGTTTTTTTTGTTTTTGGTTTTTTGGTTTTTTTTTTTAGATGGAGTCTCGCTCTGTCGCCCAGGCTGGAGTGCAGTGGTGCAATCTCGGCTCCCTGCAAGCTCCTCTTCCTGGGTTCACACCATTCTCCTGCCTCAGCGTCCCAAGTAGCTGGGACTACAGGCGCCTGCCACCACGCCCAGCTAATTTTTGTATTTTTAGTAGAGATGGGGTTTCACCGTGTTAGCCAGGATGGTCTCGAGCTCCTGACCTCATGATCCGCCCGCCTCAGCCTCCCAAAGTGCTGGGATTACAGGCGTGAGCCACCACGCCTGGCCTGTTTTTTGTTTTTGAGCCAGAGTCTCACTCTGTCGCCCAGGCTGGAGTGAAGTGGCACAATCTCCACTCACTGCAGAGTTCAGGTAATTCTCCCTGCCTTAGCCTCCCAAGTAGCTGGGATTACAGGCGCCCGCCACCATGCCTGGCTAATTTTTGTATTTTTAGTAGAGATGGGGTTTCGCCACGTTGTCCAGGCTGGTCTCAGACTCCTAACCTCAAGTGATCCACCTGCCTTGGCCTCCCAAAGTGCTGGAATTATAGGCGTGAGCTACCATGCCCGTCTGCTTTTATATATTATTGACATCAGAAACTATTAGTACTTGCAGGTGAGCAGTCTGGAAAAAAAAAGAAAAGAAACTGTAGCACATACACTCCCTTCAGCTCCCCATACCAGGAACACAGGATATGAACACCACGGTAATTAGAGAAGGATTCATTTCTGATCCACTCCACCTGACATAGATATTATAAGTCCATTTAAAATTTTTATTTATTTATTTATTTATTTATTTATTTAGAGAGTTTTACTCTGTTGCCCAGGCTGGAGTGCAGTGGTATGATCTCGACTCACTGCAACCTCTGCCTCCCAGGTACAAGTGATTCTCCTGCCTCAGCCTCCTGAGTACCTGAGATTACAGGCACATGCCACCATGCCTGGCTAATTTTTGTATTTTTAGTAGAGACAGGGTTTCATTATGTTGACCAGGCTGTTCTCGAACTCCTGACCTCAGATAATCTGCCCTCCTTGGCCTCCCAAAGTGCTGGGATTACAGTCATGAGCCACTGTGTCCAGCTGATATAAGTCCATTTAAATATATTCACAGTTAGGATAAAACATAATTCTAACTTTTTATAAGGTGTAAGATTATGAATAGTTTCTACAGATACTCTCAGGCTAACAGCTAAATGGTTCTGTTGTTTTTAGAATTCAGAAAACAAGTTATCACTTATATGGGTCGAGTAAGTTTCACTGCCTCTGATTTTGAGACTTTTTTTTTCTTTGACTTTTTTATTTTTTCCTTTATTTTGGCTTTGGTTCTCTGATTCAATGTGAAGTAGAGGAAAGAGTACTTTACTAGAAGGTGGAAGACCTGGATGGTGTTTCATGCTAATTGAATATTATAGGTTCTTTTTCCCAAACTTCATGTCATTTTACCAGAGCTAAAATTAGAAATTTCAAACTAATTTTATACCTAATATCTAAGTAATATGGAAGACGTGGTAAGTGTAAACTTTGCTACATGCTCAGTCCCTCAGAGTCAGAAACAGGGCTAACATTAGGTTATATCTTCTAGAATACCTAGTTATGTTTTGAGTGCCTGGTTCATTTTGGAGAGGAGTATTGTGGATGATTTTAGACTAATTAGAAGTTAGGCAGACTGTTGATTTGTAGTTGTCATTTATTTGCATGTTAATCTCTTGGGGATTATACTGAAGTTCATATGTAAGTAAAAGTCATAATTTGTCTTTGCCAAAAATGAGGAATGCATTATTTTCTCATTATAGGTGTTTGAAAAACTCCAACTCTTCTATCCAGAGTGCCAACCAGAGCAGATTCTGATGCCTATAAATTCTCAGCTCAAACTCTATACCAACAGGTAAGGAAAAGAGAGAATAAGGAAGTGCCAGGATCCAAGCTTAAGTATTTTCAGTAAAACATTGACATAGAAAGAACACCTTTGCCTTCTAGGAGATTTTTCTAACCCCCAAATAATTTTTTGTATGAGGTGAAATTTCCATAATGTAAAACCATTGTAAAGTGTAAAATTCAGTGGCATTTAGTACATTCACAATATTGTGTATTCAGCATCTCTATCTAGTTCCAAATATCTTTATCACCACCAAAGGAGATCCCATACCTATGAAGCAGTCACTCTTCTTTCTTTCCTGCTCGCAGCCCCTGGAAATCACTAATCTGCTTTCTGTGTACGGTATTAGCTATCCTGAATGTATTTCATATAAATGGAATCCTACAATATGCAACATTTTGTGTTGGTTTCTTTTTTTTTTTTTTTTTTGAGACAGTCTTGCTCTGTTGCCCAGGTCAGAGCACAGTGGCACAATCTCGGCTCACTGCAACCTCCACCTCCTGGGTTCAGGCAATTCTCCTGCCTCAGCCTCCCGAGTAGCTGGGATTACAGGTGCCTACCACCACACCCGGCTAATTTTCGTATTTTTAGTAGAGATGGGATTTCACCATGTTGGCCAGGCTGGTCTTGAACTCCTGACCTCAGGCGATCTGCCTGCCTCGGCCTCCCAAAGTGCTGGGATTACAGGCGTGAGCCACTGCGCCCAGCCTTGTGTTGGCTTCTTTAAGTTAGCATAATGTTTTTGAGGTCCATCCATGTTGTAGCATGTATCAGTGCTTCTTCCTTTTTATGACTGAATAGTATTCCATTATATGGAAATACCACATTTAGTTTATAATTTCATCTCCTAATACAAATTTGGGGCTGGGCTCACGCCTGTAATCCCAGGCCTTTGGGAGGCCAACGCTGGTGGATCACCTGAGGTTGGGAGTTCGAGACCAGCCTGACCAACATGGAGAAACCCCGACTCTACTAAAAACACTAAATTAGCCAGGCATGGTTGCACATGCCTGTAATCCCAGCTACTCAGGAGGCTGAGGCAGGAGAATCACTTGAACCCTGGAGGTGGAGGCAGCAGTGAGCCAAGATCACGTCATTGAACTCCGGCTTGGGCAACAAGAGCGAAACTTCATCTCAAAAAAAAAAAAAAAAGAGAAGAAATTTGTGTTGTTTTCACCATTTGGCTATTGTGAGTAGTGCTGCTATGAATATTCATTTGCAAGTATTTACTTGAATACCTGCTTTCAATTGTTTTGGCTGAATAATTTTCTTTTTGAGATGGAGTTTTGCTCTTGTCGCCCAGGCTGGAGTACAAATGGTGCCATCTTGGCTCACTGCAACCTCTGCCTCCTGGGTTCAAGCCATTCTCCTGCCTCAGCCTCCCAAGAAGCTGGGATTACAGGCGCCAGCTATCACACCCGGCTAATTTTTTTTTTTTTTTTTTTTTTTTCTCTGGTTCAAGCCATTCTCCTGCCTCAGCCTCCCAAGAAGCTGGGATTACAGGCGCCAGCTATCACACCCGGCTAATTTTTTTTTTTTTTTTTTTTTTTAGTAGAGACAGGATTTCACCATGTTGGTCAGACTGGTCTCAAACTCCTGACCTCAGGTGACCCTCCCGCCTTGGCCTCCCAAAGTGGCATGGGATTACAGATGTGAGCCACCACACTCTGGCCTTCCAAATATTAATTTAATGATAAAAGATTAGATTTTAAATAACAAGCATAATCCAAAGGCAGACTTCTATCTGAGGAACAAATAATTACACACGTGGAGAATGGCAAGCAGTTTTCTCGAGTACATGCCCTAACAGTGATCCTGGAAATTTTTACTCTTTTCTCTCTGGTCAGATAGGGACCCCAAAAGATGCCACTTTCTTTACTTGTTCCCCTAGGAAGGAGCTGCCTTCGTGAGTTCTCGTGGTCTCATAATTCATCCGTCATTGAGAGGATGGTGGAAGGGCTCCTTGAAAGCTGGCCACTTCTGCAGGTACTTTGCTTGTATTGGAAGTCACTTCTATAGAACTCTTGAGTCAACCAAACAACCATAACTGGGTCCAGGTGAGTTCAGTTACTTACTTAAAAACAAAATAAATAAAAGGCATTCCCTACAAGTGCATAGCTAAGAGTTCTTTTAAACTAGGAAATTTTCTTCATGCATTAAAGAAAAAAAGAAAAAGAAAAGAATTAGAAACTTCTTATCATAGAGAACATGAACCAGGAAAAAAAAAAAAAGAAGAAGAAGAAGAATCCCTGGGAGTCAGAAATGAACCTATAAGAGGCCAGTCTTGACATGATTATAAGCCATAAATTAAAATGAATCCTAGAGCCTTTGTTGTAAAACAGATCAGCCTAAATTTATATGATTGTCTTCCTAGCAGCTTGTTGGGTGGTATACTCACAGAGGAGGTAGACAATTGCTATCAAAATCTGCTGGGCTTGTGACTCATGCCTGTAAGCCCAGCACTTTGGGGGCTGAGGCAGGAGAATCACTTGAGGCCAGGCCGAGACCAGCCTCAGCAACATAGTGAGACCCCATCTCTACAAAAAATGAAAAAAAAAAAAAAAAAAAAGAAAAAATAGCCAGACTTGGTGGCGCATGCCTGCAGTCCTAGCTGCTTGGGAGGCTGAGGTGGAGGATCGCATGAACCTAGGAGTTTGAGGCTGCAGTGTGCTATGACTGAACTGCTGCACTGCAGCCTAGAAAACAAAGCAACAATCTGTCTCTTTTTAAAAAATTAAGCTTTGCTGATAGAATTTAAAAAACTGAGAAAAGACCTCAGAGATAAGTTAGTCTTAACATGAAAAAAAAAATTTTAGACATTAAACATCTACTATATACTATATTGGTCATTGTATGTATATTATCTCTTTTAACTACCACAAAAAGTCCCATGAGATAGGCATTATAACTCCCATCTAACTGTTAACTGATAAGAAACCTGAGACCCAGAAAAGTTACATGAGGCTATGAAAATGATAAAGCTATGATTCAAACCTAGACTTCACTTACTGTATCGCAGCTCTCTTACAGTGTGAAACACAATATAGATTGTGTTCCTGATAAGTAATCGATTTATTTAACCATGAATATTGAACACTCTGCATGAAATGGATGAATTAGTCCTTTCCTCATAAAGCTCCAGCTTCTCTTCACATTCCCACAGCTTTAAAATTAAAACCCTGCTGGGCGCAGTGGCTCACACTGTAATCCCAGCACTTTAGGAAGCTGAGCCGGTGGATCACAAGGTCAGTAGTTCAAGACCAACCTGGCCAAGATGGTGAAACCCCGTCTCTACTAAAAATACAAAAAATTAGCTGGGTGTTGTGGCAGGCACCTATAATCTCAGCTACTCAGGAGGCTGAGGCAGAGAATTGCTTGAACCCAGGAGGTGGAGGCTGCAGTTAGCTGAGATTGCGCCACTGCACTCCAGCCTGGGCAACAGAGCGAAATTCCATCTCAAAAAAAAAAAAAAAAAAATTAAAAACCTATTTCTGCCGGGCGCAGTGGCTCACGCCTGTAATCCCAGCACTTTGGGAGGCTGAGGTGTACAGATTGCTTAAGGTCAGGAGTTTGAGACCAGCCTGGCCAATATGGTGAAACCCTGTCTCTACAAAATACAAAAATTAACCAGGCAAATGCCTGTAATCACAGCTACCTGGGAGGCTGAGGCAGGAGAATTGCTTGAACCCGGGAGGCAGAGGTTGTAGTGAGTCAGAATCATGTCACTGCACTCCAGCCTGGGTGACAGAGTGAGATTCTGTCTCAAAAAACAAAAAGAAAAGAAAAAAAAAAAGAATTTCCTATGCTACAGTGCTGTCATATTTATTTTCACTCTGACTTAAGTCATCTCACATCAAAAGCTAACTATTTCCTACAGGAAGAGAAACATCACTTTATCATTGATTATAAGTCTCAGAATATGGTTACAGCACTTCTCCATATCTTTTTCTGTACCAGTAGGTTTTGTTTCCCACAGGTAGCACCGGTGACATACCTGCGAGTGAGCAGCCAACTCAGTTTTTTTCATACACAGCCTAAGGAAGGACCCTGTCAGCATTTCTCCTGGCATGTCTCTCACCTTCACTGTTCAGTTTTATAATAGTATCGGAGAGAAATTCCACACACACAATACCCAGCTTTATCTGGCTCTGAACAGGTATGGAAGTCAAAGGAATAGTATTGACACTATGGTAGAAATCTTGCAGATTAGGCTAGTATTATATAGCAGCTCCAGTAAATTCCCCTCACATTCTGAATTTGGAATTTGATCTTTTTTTGTTAAAAAAATTTTTTAAGTGAGGCCAGGTGGGTGACTCATACCTGTAATCCCAGCACTTTGGGAGGCTGAGCAGAGAGGATCACTTGGGCCCAGGAGTTCAAGACCAGCCTGGACAACATGGTGAAACCCCATCCCTACAAAAATACAAAAATTAGCTGGGTGTGGTAGCGGGTGCCTGTAGTCCCAGCTACTAGGGAGGCTGAGGTGGGAGGATCACTTGAGCCCAGGAGGCAGAGGTTGCAGTGAGCAGAGATTGTGCTATTGTACCCCAGCCTATGTGACCAATTAAGACTCTGTCTTAAAAAAAAAAAAAAAAAAAAACCAGACTTAGATAATGGTATTAGTTGTCACTTAAGAAAAATTTCAGGATATCTTAAATCTGTCAAGTTCTAATTCACTAAAAGATCCATAGGGAGCTAATTGAGCAAGCTATTATCAAAAGGCTTTACTGGGAAAAAAAAAACCCTTCCTGGGCACTATAAGGCATGTGAAGGTAATAGACTAACTTGGCCCATACTTACTTACTCTTTTTTGAGAGATGGAGTCTCACTCTGTCTCCTGTGGCTGGAGTGCAGTGGCATGATCTCAGCTCACTGCAAGCTCTGCCTCCCGGGTTCACGCCATTCTCCTGCCTCAGCTCTCCTGAGTAGCTGCACTTGCCACCATGCCTGGCTAATTTTTTGTGTTTTTTAGTAGAGATGGGGTTTCACTGTGTTAGCCAGGATGGTCTCAATCTCCTGACCTTGTGATTCACCCACCTCAGCCTCCCAAAATGCTGGGATTACAGGCGTGAGCCACCATGCCCAGCCTACTTACTCACTTCCCCTTTATTGTAGGAATGCCTTCTGAACTTTCTAGCTGTTGAATATAAAATGTGATAGGTGTTCCCAAGAACTATTTTCTAACTATTGTCTTCTCTTTTGAAAGATTTCTACCTTTAATGTCTACTTGCAGAGATGACTTGCTGCTTATTGGACCAGGGCATAAGAACTATACTTACATGGCCCAGGCTAGAACAGAGGGCTGACACTTGTGGGGCTTGGGACCGAGACATCCAGGCATGGCAGATTATATTCCTGTTGCTGTAGAGCATGCCATTGAGCCAGACACTGCTTACCTTGTTGGAGATGTCATCTGCTTCAGTACTCACCTTGTCAGCCAGCATGGTATGTATACATTCCCTTTCTCAACCTTACAACCGAGTAAGGTTGTGAAGATTAAAACGCAGTTATTTAACAGCAACAACAAAAAAGCAGTTACTAATCCCTTGAACTGGTGTGTGTTTATACCTATAATCTCAGCCTCCTTTGGGAGGTCACGCTGGAGAGGTCACTTAAGGCCAGAAGTTCAAGAAAGCAATTAATCCTAGAATATATTTGTTTCAAATTATCTAAAATTCAGGGTTTCCGAGAAAGAAAATACTTTGAGTATTTTATTATTTGTAATGTTAACTGATAATTTTTAGATTAATGCCTGTTTTACCCACTAGGCAGCCAATAGAAGCCAGCTAGTAATATTTATCAAGAGTCTATTGAATACATAGCTCTATTTTATATCCTGTAGATAGTGCAGGGCACGATGTCTTTTCCTCCATTCCCAGCTTTTGAAGGAGGGTACTAATTATGTTAAAGGACAGTAAAGGATAACAGGAAGGAAAAGGCAATAAGGCTTTAGTTCTAAGAAATAGTTGTGTGTATGCTATTTTGTGAGGCACATTTGAAGGCCTAAATCCTAACATATCATCATCGCACAAGGTTTTTTCTTGTACCAGATAAATTATACTTTTTTTTTTTTTTTGAGACAGAGTCTCACTTGCCACCAGGCTGAATGAGAGGTGGCATCGATCTCGGCTCACTGCACCCTTGACTCCTGGGTTCAAGTGATTCTCCTGCCTTGCCTTAAGTGCAGCTGGGACTACAGGAACACACACTCACCACGCCGGCTAATTTTTGTATTTTATACAAGGTTGGCGCCTGGCCAACTCTACTTTGGAAAACAGTTATACTTCTGTCCTAAGTACTGAGTTAAAAATAAATTATAAGCCAGGTGCGTGGCTCATGCCTGTAATCCCAGCACTTTGGGAGGCCGAGGCGGGCAGATCACGAGGTCAAGAGGTTGAGACCATCCTGGCCAACATGGTGAAACCCCATCTCTACTAAAAATACAAATTATCTGGGCATGGTGGCACATGCCTGTAGTCCCAGCTACTCAGGAGGCTGAGGCAGGAGAATCTCTGGAACCTGGGAGGCGGAGGTTGCAGTGAGCCCAGATCGTGCCACTGCACTCCAGCCTGGTAACAGAGTGAGACTTCGTCTCAAAATAAATAAACAAAATCATAGAAAATCATTTGGGAGGCCAAGGTAGGCAGACCACCTGCGGTCAGGAGTTCAAGACCAGCCTGGCCAACATGGTGAAACCCTGCCTCTACTAAAAATACAAAAATTAGCCGAGTGTGGTGGCAGACGCCTGTAACCCAGCTTACTGAGTGAAGGCTGAGACAGGAGAATCACTTGAACCTAGGGTGAGGTTGCAGTGAGCTGAGAATGCGCCACTGCACTCCAGCCTGGGTGACGGAGCAAGACTCTGTCTCAATAATACACACACACACACACAATAAAATTAGCCCAGTGTGGTGGCATATGCCTTGGTCCCAACTACGGGAGGCTGAGGTAAGGATTTGAGCCCAGGAGGCTGCAGTAAGCTAAGATCGCACCACTGCACTCCAGCCTGGAATGACAGGCTGTCTTCAAAAAAAGAAATCAAGCCTTTTGGTTAGAAATGAGTGAATTCTTTTTGGGTTTCCAAATACCATATCCCAGTGGTGTATACTGCCTGGATATATACATCCAACCAAGACCTGCTTGTGGTAATATATGGCTTTGGCTTTGCAGCCTCTTGTAACTATGGATACATATGTTTAGGTAAAGTGATGTAAATGTTGGACCTGACTTTAGCATTAACTATGTGTTTTGGACCTTGATACAAAAGGGCTCTATACAGCTGAATCCCCCAATGCTATAACAGCTGATTCCGGCAAACAACTACGTCAACATGCAATCCAGGACCAATGAGCTAACCTTACTATGTTGACAATGAGTTATAATCCCTGATTATAAATCCCTTTGTCAATGAAGCAGAGTATTTTTTACTCCTCTTTTTTGTTTGTTTGTTTTTTTTGAGACAGAGTTTCACTCTTATCACCCAGGCTGGAATGCAATGGTGTGATCTCGGCTCACTGCAACCTCTGCCTTCTGGGTTCAAGTGGTTCTGCCTCGCCTTCTCAAGTAGTTGGAAACTAGAGGCATGTGCCACCATGCCTGGCTAATTTTTGTATTTTTAGTAGGATGGGGTTTCACCATGTTGGTCAGGCTGGTCTCGAACTCCTGACCTCAGGTGATCTTCCAGCCTCGGCCTCCCAAAGTACTGGTATTACAGACGTGAGCCAGCGCCTGACTCATTTTTTACTCTTTTTAGCTAGATTTTGACAGGATTGTCCTATAGTCTTCCAATCTGGAATTTTGGGAGGCTTTATCATATGATGAAGGAAAGGGGCCATGCCAGGATCAGTAGTCCTGCAGGCTAAACACAAACTCTAACCCAGTTTTTAGCATTCCTCGGCCATCTTTAGACTTATGCCAAAATAAATAAATCCTTTCTCTTCCCAGTAGTCACTTTTTTGCAGTCTTTCTTGCTGTCATCAAACAGTAGCTCAAAGCAAATTTGTCCTTAGCAGCATCTAAACAAAATTTATTCAGAAAGTTATCCCTGCATGTAAAAAAGCTTTTCTTTTTTCCTAAGGAGAACAGTGCTTACATTTCAACTAAGTAACTCTTTCGCCGCATTCTTTATTTTGCTGGTAATGATATATGAAGAGGAACCTGACACTGAGAAAACAGTTATCTTCAAAGCTGGCCATTTCTCCTAGGAGGAGATATCTGCATGCTTGAAAAGTTTGGTTGGATTTGTAGTATGAATAAGTCTAGAGTGATTTATATCAAAGGCTGCTGCCGAGTGCTTTCTCTTGTCTTTTCCTAGGCGAACCTGGGATATGGATGATTTCTGCTGACAATATTCTACAGATAGACATTGTCACTGGAGGAGGGCTAGGAGTCCAGGACTGCAATGATTTTCAGCAAAGAACATCCAGGAGTAGTGAAAACATATCGAGAGGTAAACATAACTGTATCAGAGTTTAAGAGACTATGGTGACTATTGCCACATATGAGGATATGCATAGAGAAAATACATCATAGGAAAGGAAATACACTCATAAAAACAATATATGAAGCCAGCCAGCAAACATTATTGGAACACAAAGCTAAACAGTGCTTAGGTTTTCCAACCGCAGAATGACTACTTATGTTTTATCCATCACTGTGGGTACTGGTTGGCACTAGATAGATGCCAGGTAGAAGCTGAAAGCATTTCATTTGGGAGTCTACTGCCCTAATCCAGGTGACATATGTTGGCAGATCAGGGTGGTGACAGAGGAGGTAGTAAGAAGTTGACCAGATTCTAGGTATCTTTTATAGGTAGAGCCAATAGAGTTTCCTCAGATTATATCTAGAACATAAGAAAATCCAGAATGATTCAGGTTTTTGGTTGAACAGCTGAAAGGACAGCATTACCATCAACTGAAATGGGGAAGACTGTAGGTGGAAACAGTTTTGAGGGAAAATGTCAGCTTTGGATATGTAAAAACTGGATATGTCTCTCTTAAATGTCAACTGGATATGCTGAGGTAGTTGACATAAAGTCTGGGACTCATTGAATAGAGATATTTAAGGCCATTAGATCACCAAAAGAATGCTGAGCTTAAAATAGAAAAAGCAAAGTGTGTGGCTCACATCTGTAATCCCAGCACTTTGGGAGGCCAAAGCGGGAGGATAACCTGAGGTCAGAGGTTCAAGGATAACATGTTCAGGAGTTCAAGAACATGGTGAAACCCCGTCTCTACTAAAAATACAAAAATTAGCTTGCCTGGTGGCTCCCGCGCCCTGTACTCCCAGCTACTCAGGAGGCTGAAGCACAAGAATCGCTTGAACCTGGGAGGTGAATGTTGCAGTGAGCTAACATCAAGCCACTGCGCTCCTGCCTGGGCAACAGAGTGAGAGTCGGTCTCAAAAAAAAAATATATATATATAGAAAAAAGATCTAAGTACTAAGTTCTGGGAGCACTTCAATCTTAAGAGTTCTGATTGCCTTTTGATTAGTGGCAAATGGAAAAAGAAAGAAACAAAAGGGAAAAAGGGAGCTCTGAGAGAAGAACCAATAAGAAAGACTTATAAGAAACAACCAGACTGGGCGCCTATGACTGAGCCTGTGATCCCAGCACCTTGGGAGACCAAGGCAGGCAGATCACAAGGTCAGAAGTTCGAGACCCAGCCTGACCAACATGGTGAAACCCCATCTCTACTAAAAAGACAAAATTAGCTGGGCATGGTGGCACGCACCTGTAATCTTGAAGTGGCTCAGAGGCTGAGGTAGGAGAATCGCTTGAACCCAGGAGGCGGAGGTTGCAGTGAGCCAAGATCACACCATTGCACTCCCAGCCGGGCAATGAGGAGATTCACTTCAAAAAAAAAAAAAAAAAAGAAAAAAGAAACAACCAGTGAAATGGGAGGGAAATCTAGAGACACGGTATCCTGGAAGGCAAGTGAAGAAAGTATTTGCCTCAGCCTCCCAAAGTGCTGGGATTACAGGCATGAGCCACTGCGCCCCAAACAGAGGACCTGAATGTGAATGTTTGATTGAGAATAAAAAGACTTGGAGACAGCAAATAGAGAAAGCTCTTTAAGGAGTTGGGGGTTAAAGAGTTTGTTTTGTGGATTTTTTTTTAATAAGAGAAATATGAATTGGGAATGATTCAGTGAAACGTAAATTTGATCAAGTCAGAGGATTGCTGGAGGGAGTAATATTCTTCAGTAGGTCAGATAGGTAAACAAGTAAAGGAATTTTTTTTTAATTAAATATTTTCTGCCGAGAGGTGGCTCACGCCTGTAATCCCGTACTTTGGGAGGCTGAGGTGAGTGGATCACGAGGTCAGGAGATCAAGATCATCCCTGCCAACACAGTGAAACCCCATCTCTAACAAAAATACAAAAAAATTAGCCAGGCGTGGTGGCAGGCACCCAGGTCCCAGCTACTCAGGAGGCTGAGGCAGGAGAATGGCGCAACCCGGGAAGGCAGAGCTTGTAGTAAGCCGAGATCACGCCACTGCACTCCAGCCTGGGCAACAGAGCGAGACTCTGACTCAAAAAAAAAAAAAAAAAAAAGTCTATTCCCCTCTTTTTTTTTTTTTTTTTTTTTTGAGACGGAGTCTCGCTGTCGCCCAGGCTGGAGTGCAGTGGCCAGATCTCAGCTCACCACAAGCTCCGCCTCCCAAGCGCCATTCTCCTGCTGCTCTCAGCCTCCCGAGTAGCTGGGACTACAGGCGCCCGCCACCTCGCCTTCCGGCTAGTTTTTGTATTTTTAGTAGAGACGGGGCTACTGTGTTAGCCAGATGGTCTCGATCTCCTGACCTCATGTGATCCTCCGTCTCGGCCTCCCAAAGTGCTGGGATTACAGGCTTGAGCCACCGCGCCCGGCTATTCCTCTTAAATATATGTGTAATGTCTCCTTCCTCTTTGCCCAAAGCACTTCTTTGTTACTCTTTTTTCATTCCTCAAACATGGTAGCTATAACTTTTGTGTATCTACTAAGGGCTTGGCGCTTCTCATCTCTTTTTTTTTTTTTTTTTTTAAGAGATAGTGTCTCACTGTTGCCTGGGCTACAGTACAACGATGCAATCATGGCTCACTGCAGCCTCAAACTCCTGGATTCAAGCCATCCTCCCATTGGCCTAGCCTCCCAAAGTAGCAGGACCAACAAGCGTGTGCCAGCATACCTGGCTAATTATATTTTTTTGCAGAGACAGGGTCTCACTTCATGTTGTCCAGTCTGGTCTCAAACACCTGATTCAGTGATCTTTCTGCCTCAGCCTCCCAAAGTGCTAGGATTATAGGCATGAGCCACTGCGCCTGGCCATCTATTTTTTTTTTTTTTTGACAGGGTCTTGCTCTGTTGCCCAGGCTGGAGTGCAGTGGGGTGCTATCTCGGATCACTGCAACCTCCACCTCCTAGGGCTCAAGTGATCCTCCCACCTCAGTCTCCCAAGTAACTGGGACCACAGGTGCATACCACCACACTCAGCTAATTTTGGGGGGGTGGTGTGTGTGTGTGTTTGTGTTTTGAGACAGAGTCTCTGCCGCCCTAGCTGGAATGCAGTGGCTGAATCTCGGCTCACTGCAACCTTCGCCTCCTGGATTCAAGCAATTCTTCTACCTCAGACTCCCAAGTAGCAGGGATTACAGGCACCTGCCACCACACCCAGCTAATTTTTGTATTTTAGTAGAGACACAGTTTCACCATGTTGGCCAGGCTGGTCTCAAACTCCTGACCTCAAGTGTTCTATCTGCCTCAGCCTCCTAAAGTGCTGGAATTACAGGTGTGTACCACCACATCTAGCCCAGTCTTTTTTTTTTTTTTTTTAACATCCAGTACACCTATCACTTTTAATAGTATCACTTTTAACTCTGCAAAGTAAATATGGGGGCATGGAGGAGGGAGAGCATCAGAAGAATAACTAATGGATGCTGGGCTTAATACCTGGGTGATAGGTTGATTCATGCAGCAAACCACCATGGCACACAATAACCTATGTAACAAACCTGCACATCCTGCACACAACCTGGAACTTAAAAAAAAATTGAAAAAAAAAAAGTATTATCAGCTGGGCGCGGTGGCTCAAGCCTGTAATCCCAGCATTTTGGGAGGCCGAGACGGGCGGATCACGAGGTCAGGAGATCGAGACCATCCTGGCGAACAGGTGAAACCCCGTCTCTACTAAAAAATACAAAAAATTAGTCGGGTGTGGTGGCAGGTGCCTGTAGTCCCAGCAACTCGGGAGGCTGAGGCAGGAGAATGGCATAAACCCAGGAGGCAGAGCTATGTGTGAGCTGAGATCCGGCCACTGCACTAGCTGGGGCGACAGAGCAAGACTCTGTTTCAAAAAAAAAAAAGTATTTATCCCAACTTTGTTTTATTTTATGTATTTATTTATTTTATAAATCATCTTCACTCTGTTGCCCAGGCTGGAGTGCAATGGCACAATCTCTGGTCACTGCACCCCACCTTCCAGATTCAAGCACCATGTCTCAGCCTCCCGGCAAGTAACTGGGGACTACAGCATGAGCCACCACACCCAGCTAATTGTTGTATTTTTAGTAGAGACAGGGTTTTGCCATGTTGGCCAGGCTGGTGTCAAACTCCTGGCCTCAAATGAGCTGCCTGCCTCAGCCTCCCAAAGTGCTAGGATTGCTGGGTGATGTGAGTCACTGCACCTGGCCCCAACTTTACAGATGAGTAAATATCAATATGTGTCCAAGACCGTATCTGGTACCTTGTTTTAAGGAGCCTATAGTCTGCAGACATAAACAATTACATATATGGCAATAAATAATTACAAAAGGCAAGTAAACGCATGTTGTGTTTGAAGACTAATGAATAAATCAGGGTAACTTCAATACAAAATAAATAAGGGTAGAGAGGGAAAATTTGGATAACATCCAAAAAGAACTTGTATTATAAGCAGATAAGAGGTTCAAGGACAGAGGTAGCATGAAACGAGTACTAGAAAAAGAGACTGAGAAGGTATTAGGAACTAGAAAAGCAAAGAGAAAGAGTGTCATAGAAGGCAAAGGAGGAAATGGTTGTGGTGTTGTATGCTACAGGGAAGTCAAAAGATTACTCCTATTCTAATTTGTGTACTTTGTAGAATCCTTATTCTATTTATTCTTAATTTAGTTTGGTAGGATAACTTACTTGGAGTGCCTATTTATAATGGCACGCTGATCCCAGAAACTGGACAAATATGAAAAAGACAATCCTTATTAAACTATTAATGTAATCTAATTTGGTTTTAGTATTCTTGGATTAAATTTGTATAATACTTATGGAGAATGGAGTATATTACACTTAAATTTAAATATTAAGGGCTGGGCACAGGCTCACACCTGTAATCCCAGCACTTTTAGAGGCCGAGGTCAGTGGATCACTTGAGGTCAGGAGTTTGAGACCAGCCTGGTTAACATGGTGAAATCTACTTACTAAAGATACAAAAATCAGCCAGGCAGGGCACATGCCTGTAATCCCAGCTACTTGGGAGGCTGAAGCAGGAGAACTGCTGGAACCCGGGAGGCAGAGGCTGCAGTGAGCTGAGATTGCACCAGTAGCTTGAAGCTTGGGTGGGACAGAGCAAGACTCCATCTCAAAAAAACAAACAAACAAACAAAAAAAAACTTACAATATAGTGCAGAACACTGCAAGTATTCTTGAGGAAAAATGTACTTTTGAGGTTTCAGAAAAGATTGAGATTATATGCAACCAGAGAGAAAGAGAAAATGTCCTAAAGAAAGTTACAGTTGTTTTGTGTTTGTGTGTGTGTGTGTTTGTTTGTTTGTTTTTTGAGATGGAGTCTCACTCTGTCACCCAGGCTGGAGTGCAATGGCACAATCTCGGCTCACTGCAGATTCCACCTCCCAAGTTCAAGTGATTCTCCTGCCTCAGCCTCCCTAGTAACTGGGATTACAGGCACGCTCCAACATGCCTGGCTAATTTTTGTATTTTTAATAGAGTATGGATTTCACCTTGCTGGCGTGTGGCTGGTCTAGAATTCCTGACCTCAAGTGATTCACTGAGCCTCAGCCTCTCAGAGTGTTGGGATTACAGGTACGAGCCACCACACCCTGGCCTCAAAGGCATTTTAATAGGAGTCATACAAAGGGAAGATATGTCTGGAAGGAATAATTGACCCAAGACTTCCTCTGGAAAATGTTATTTTGGGGCTGGGCATGGTAGCTTATGCCTGTAATCTCAGCACTTTGGGAGGCCAAGGTGGAAGGATGGCTTGAGGCCAGGAGTTCTGAGGAACACCCGGGATAATATAGTGAGACTGGCTTTTTTTTTTTTTTTTGAGTCTCGCTCTGTCACCCAGGCTGGAGTGCAGGAGCCACTCCACTCACTGCAAGCTCCGCCTCCTGGGTTCAAAGCACCATTCTCCTGCCTCAGCCCCTGAGTAGCTGGGATTACAGGCACCTCGCCACCAGGCGCAGCTAATTTTTGTATTTTGTAGTAGAGACGGGGTTTCACCGTGTTAGCCAGGATGGTCTTGATCTCCTGACCTCGTGATCCATCCACCTCGGCCTCCCAAAGTGCTGGAATTACAGGCGTGAGCCACTGTGCCGGCCGTGCCCCACTGTTTTTTGGCTAGGCATGGGGTGCACACATACCTGTAGTCCCAGCTTCGCTTAGAGGCTGAGGCAGGAGGATTGCTTGAGCCTAGGAATTTGAGGCTTCCATGATCATGCCATTGCACTCCAGCCTGGGTGACAGAGCAGACCCTTGGACTCAAAAAAACAAGTTATTTTGTTTTCAAAGGCAAATGATTTTGTTGTTCTCAAATATGTGGTCATGAGATGGGCAATTTGTACTTAGTGAAACAGATACTTTTGGTTAAATAAGTTATGAGGGGTGGATCTGGAAGGAATCAGATTCTCTAGGAACTTAGGTGCAGATTTTCCTTTGATTTGCTGACAGGTGGTGGTCAATGCATCATCAAGATTAATGCTCAGTTATGACCTCAAGACTTATCTCACCAACACCCTCAATTCAACTGTATTCAAGCTCTTCATCACCACTGGCAGAAATGGTGTGTCAATCTTAAAGGCTGGTGGAATCTCTTTATGGTTTCAGTGATTGTTCCTATCTTTCTCATTTTCCCTCAATTCATTTATCTCCTTTGGGATTAGTAATCCAGATTTTCTTTTTTATTTCAAAACTGACTCCATCTTGACAAATAAACCAGAGCTCTATGAGATCTCAGAAATTATGACAAGACTAAGAAGTTTTAAAACAGGCTCATCCTAGTCACTATTGTCTTTCTAGTTTTAAAAAATACAAATTTTTTAGGCTGGCATGGTGACTTACACCTGTAATCCCAGCACTTTGGGAGGCCGAGGCAGGCAGATCACCTGAGGTCAGGAGTTCAAGACCCCGACCAACATGGTGAAACCCCGTCTCTACTAAAAATACAAAACTAGCTGGGTGTGGTGGTGTGCGCCTATAATCCCAGCTACTTGGAGTCTGAGGCAAGAGAATCGCTTGAATCGAGGAAGCAAAGGTTAGAGTGAGCTAAAGATCGCACCACCGGACTGCAGCCTGAGCGACAGAGTAAGACTCCATCTCAAAACAAAAACACTCTAAGGTAATTTTTTAGGACTTCTGGAGTGGTGGCTCACGACTGTAATCCCAATTATTTAGGACGCTGTGGTGGGAGGATCGCACCAGGAGTTTGCACCAGCCTGGGCAACAGAGAAAGACTCCATCTCTCAAAAAAAAAATAGATGGTCGAGCTGTGGGCTCACACCTGTAATACCAGCACTTTGGGAAGCTGAGGCGGGTGGATCACAAGGTCAAGAGTTCGAGACCAGCTTGGCTAAGATGGTGAAACTCCGTCTCTACTAAAAATACAAGGCAACTGAGCTGGGTGCAGTGGTGGGTGCCTGTAATCCCAGCTACTTGGGAGGCTGAGGCAGGAGATTTGCTTGAACCCGGGAGGTTGCGAAAGGAGATCACACCACGTACCTTGCCTGGGTGGAGAAGACTCCATCTCCCAAAAAAAAGAGAGATAATTTTAATTTATTTGCCTTTTTGTTCTCTTCAAGCATTTAACATATTTTTCAAATTAGCTATTTGATTTTATTATAAATACAAAGATAGATAACAGTAAAGAATATTTTATCTTTTAAAATTTCCTAGGTTCTTTTTTATAGATAAAAAACACCAAATGTTTCTTTGTAACATATTCACCCACTGTTGTCCAAATTACGATTTTATAAACAGACTTTTTTTTTTTTTTGAGATGGAGTCTTGCTCTGTCGCCTGGGCTGGAGTGCAGTGGTGTGATCTCGCTCACTGCAACAAACCGCCTCCCTGGGTTCAAGCAATTCTCCTGCCTCAGCCTCCTGAGTAGTGGGATTACAGGCACATGCTACCATGCCCAGCTAACTTTTGCATTATTAGTGCAGAGGCAGGGTTTCACCATGTTGGCCAGGCTGGTCTCGAACTCCTGACCTCAGGTGATCAGCCCGCTCAGCCTCTCCCCAAAGTGCTGGGATTACAAGTTTGAGCCACCACACTCAGCCAACAGACTGCCGTTTATTCTGTGAATCTTTCTAAAATCACTACTTATTTTATTGAGAAACCTCATGCACGTCCCTTTTGATTTCTGCTGGGAAGATTTTTCAAAGAAGAATAAGCCACTGCTGAGCTGGGAAGCCTTCCACCCAGCACTTTAGAGGCCAGATCGGCGATCATGTAGTCAGGAGATCGAAAGCCTCATCCTGGAAGCAGGAGCAACACTGCAAACCTCGCCTTCTACTAAAAATACAAACTAGCCGGCGCAGGTGGCGGGCGCCTGTCCCCAGCTGGCCGAGGCTGAGGCAGGAGAATGGCGTAACTCGAGGTGAGCTTGCAGTGAGCTGAGTCCAGCCACCTCGCACCTCCAGCCTGGGCGACAGAGCGAGACTCCATCTCAAAAAAAACAAAGAATACCACCCATTGCAGCTGACTCAATGATAACAACAGTCCACTTCTTGCTGTCTATATGATTCCTCTTAAGGTACCACTTGTGATGAAGTTCTAGGGGCTTGGAAGCTTGAATTATATTGTAATTATATTACAATATTGTATATGAAAAACAAATATCCTAGACCCAAAAGCCACCTCCAAAACTGTACTGCTTTATTTTATTTATTTGTCTATTTATTTATTTATTTATTTTGAGGCGGAGTCTCTCTCCTTTTTTGCTCTGTCGCGCCCAGGCTGGAGTGCAGTGGCACTATCTCGCTCACTGCAAGCTCCGCCTCCTGGGTTCAGGCCATTCTCCTGCCTCAGCTTCCCGAGTAGCTGAGACTACAGGCGCCTGCCACCACGCCCGGCTAATTTTTTTTTGTATTTTTAGTAGAGATGGGGTTTCTCACCCCGTGTTAGGGGCTGTGATGGTCTCGAACATCTCTGACCTCATGATCCACCCATCTCGGCCTCCCAAAGTGCTGGGATTACAGGCTTGAGCCACCATACCGGCTTATTTGTCTATTTGAGATGGAGTTTCGCTCTCTTGTTGCCCAGGCTGGAGTGCAATGGCAGCACACCCGGCTCACCGCAAATCTCCGCCTCCTGGGTTCAGCTGATTCTCCTGCCTCAGCCTTCCCAAGTAGCTGGGATTACAGGTGTGCACCACCACCCCCAGCTAATTTTGTATTTTTAGCAGAGATGGAGTTTCTCCATGTTGGTCAGGCTGGTCTTGAACTCCCGACCTTAGGTGACCGCCTGCCTCGTCTTCCTGAAGTGCTGGGATTACAGGTATGAGCCACCTCGCCCGGCCTATTTTTAATAGATTTCTAACTTCCCTGTAATCTTTTTTACTCCCACTGACAAATTCAAAAAAAATATTTGAAAAAAGACACCACCTATGTATGATACTGATAATGGAAGCCCCACTGTAGTCATTCACAAATTAGAATGCGAGGGTCTCACACTATTCTTTCACCTTGATTGAAGCAGAGGTGGGCAAACCAGCTAATTTTTTTTTTTTTTTTTTTTTTTTTTTTTTTTTTTTTGAGACGGAGTCTGGCTCTGTCGCCCAGGCTGGAGTGCAGTGGCCGATCTCAGCTCACTGCAAAGCCTCGCCTCCCGGGTTTACGCCATTCTCCTGCCTCAGCCTCCAGAGTAGCTGGGATCAAAGGTGTTTCCGCCACCTCGCCCGGCTAGTTTTTTTTTGTATTTTTAGTAGAGAACGGGGTTTCACCGTGTTCGCCAGGATGGTCTCGATCTCCTGACCTCGTGATCCACCCGCCTCGGCCTCCCAAAGTGCTGGGATTACAGGCTTGAGCCACGCGCCCGGCCAACCAAAGCCAATTGACCTCTTTCTTGCTTATGTTCTTTATGATCCAAAGTTGTCACCAGATAATCTCTCTTTTTACAAATTATTGTTAGTGACAAAGCTATTTACCTCTTTTTCTGCTTTCAGGATTCTGTACAAACCAGGCCTTCTGGTCACATAAAGTACTTCTTCCAGCAACCCTCATGCTGTGCCAAGGTACAGTTCAGTAGTACTTTGCTAGACATTCCAGCAAGTAAAGTCTTTCATGTCCATTCAGATTTCAGTATGGAGAAAGGTAGGTTACACCGTGCTGACTCTGGCTTCCATTCTGTTTATCTATTTCAGGCCAACTGTCCCATTCTTATTTGACTGCTTTATATCTGTAGTTTCATCTGATACATAACTGTGGAATTTTTCTCAGGCAACACTTTGTTCAACCCATTTTCAACCCTTTTTTTTTTTTTTCTTTTTTTTGATACAGGGTCTTGCTGTGTTGCCTAAGGCTGGAGTGTAATGGTATGATCATAGCTCATTGTAATCTTAAACTCCTAGTCTCAAGCAATTCCCCTGCCTCAGCCTCCTGAGTAGCTAGGACTACAGGCACATGACATCATGCCTTTTTTTTTTTTTTTTTTTTTTTAAGAGCGACATGATCTTCCTAAGGGTTGCCCAGGCTAGTCTCAAACTCCTGGCCTCAAGCAATCTTCCTGCCTCAGCCTCCCAAAGTGCTGGAATTACAGGTGTTAAGCCCACTGCCCCCAGCCCTATTCAAATAATTTTAACACATGCCTCTAGAATACTCCTGTGCTTTTCTATTACAGCTTGGCTATTTTCTTGTTAGTCCCCTTATCATTAACTCTGTGTGAGGCTCTGCATTGTGTCTCATTCATCTTACTTCAGCATGTAGCACAGTGTTTTGGGATGTTTTGTTGAACTGAAAGATACTCCAAATTAAAGAACAGGATTAACAAGTGAAAAGTGGAAATAGGCATGATGTTAGGAGGACTTTATGTAAATCAGCTTATCTAAAAATGAAAGGATTCATATCAAATGTAGAGAAGGCGCAGGAGCCACACCTGTAATCCCAGTACCTGGGAGGCCGAGGCAGGCGGATCACCTGGAGGTCAGCTTCGGAGACCAGGCCTGGCCAACATGGTGAAACTCCCCACCTGGCTGAAAATGCCAAAAAACCAACCAGGCGCGGTGGAGGCACCTGCAATCCCAGCCAGCCTGGGAGACTGAGGCAGGGAGAGCCTGCCTGAATCGAGATGGAAGTTGCAGTGAACCAAAATCATGCCACTGCACTCCAGACTGGGCAAGACTACATCTCAAAAAAAAAGAAAAAGAAAAAGTAAGGTATAAATAAGGTAGTGCTTCATCATGAGAGAACTTTACTGCTAGATCAGCAGTCTGAATGGTTTGGGTCATTAGCAACCACTGAAGGAAGGTTCATTCAGCAAACTGTTTATAATACCTGATAGCAGGAGAAGATGTGGAGTAACAAAGAAAGTAGCTCTTGGTTTGTTTGTTTGTTTGTTTTGTTTTGTTTTGTTTTTGAGATGGAGCCTTACTCTGTCTCCCAGACTGGAGTGTAGTGGTACAATCTCAGCTCACTGCAACCTCTGCCTCCCGGTCACAAGCATCTCCTCGCCCCAGCCTCCTGAGTAGCTGGGATTACAGGTGCATGTCACCATGCCTCAGATAATTTTTGTAGTTTTAGTAGAGATGGGGTTTCTTACAATGTTGGTCAGGCTGGTCTGGCCTCGAACTCCTGACCTCGGTGATCCACCCACCTCAGCATCCCAATGTGTTGGGATTACAGGCGTGAGCCACCACACCCAGCCATTTTTGTTTCTTTATTTTGTTTGTTTGTTTGTGTAGGGACAGGATCTCCCTATGTTGCTCAGGGCTGGTTCAAACTTCCCTAGCCTCAAGTGATCCACTTTCGGCCTCCCAAAGTGCTGGGATTATAGGCACGAACCACCATGTCCAGCCTAAACCTTTTAACTTTTAGTGTTACCCTACCAGGTGATGAGTTACAGGATAGACACATATATGTTTGTGACTTCAACTTATTGATGAAAAAATAAATCAGGCCAGGTGCAGTGGCTCATGCTCATAATCCCAGCCCTTTGGGAGGCCATGGCAGACAAATTACTTGAGGTCAGATGTTTGAGACCAGCCTGGCCAACATGTGAAACCCCATCTCTGCTAAAAATACAAAAATTAGCCAGGCATGGTGGCAGGCACCTGTAGTCCCAGCTATTCGGGAGGCTGAGGCAGGAGAATCACTTGAATCCAGGAGGCAGAGGCTCTCCAGTGAGCCAAGATGGTGCCACTGCACTCCAGCCTAGGTAACAGAGGAGACTCCGTCTCAAAATAAATAAATGTGCCGGGCGTGGTGGGTCATGCCTGTAATCCCAGCACTTTGGGAGGCCAAGCAAAGCGGCGGATCATGAGGTCAGGAGATTGAGACCATCCTGGCTAACAAGGTGAAACCCTCTCCACTAAAAAAAAAAATACAAAAAAATTAGCCGGGTGGGGTGGCGGGTGCCTATAGTCCCAGCTACTCAGGAGGCTGAGGCAGGAGAATGGCGTGAACCCAGGAGGCAGAGCTTGCAGTGAGCCAAGATCATGCCACTGCACACCAGCCTGGGCGACAGTGCGAGACTCCGTCTCAATAGATAGGATAGATAGATAGATAGATAGATAGATAGATAGATAGATAGATAGATAGATAGATAGATAGAAAAAAATACAGGCCAGGTGCGGTGGCTCACGCCTGTAATCCCAGCACTTTGGGAGGCTGAGGCGGGCGGATCACCTGAGGTCGGGAGTTCATCACCAGCCTCTACCAACACGGGGAAACCCGGGCCCTACTAAAATACAAATTAGCCGGGTGTGGTGGCACATGCCTGTAATCCCAGCTATTCGGGAGGCTGAGGCAGGAGAATTGCTTGAACCCAGGATGCGGAGGTTGCAGTGAGCCGAGATCACGCCATTGCACTCCAGCTTAGGCAATAAGAGTGAGACTCCATCTCAGAAAAATAAATAAATAAATAAATAAAAAGAAAGCAGAAAGAAAGGAGGAGTATCTACATGAAACCTGAGGCAAAAATAAGTAAGGTTTTACAGAGGGAATGACCTTTAGAAGTATGATTAAGAGTGAACTAGATGTGAAGAGAACAGGACATTCCAGGGCAACATAGGGCCTCCAGAGAAGTTTGTTTTAGTTTTGGTTTGGTTTGTTTTTTTCCCCCAAAAATAAGATGAAATCACTTGGGCCGAGGAGGTTGAGGCTGCAGTGAGCCATGATAATGCCACTACACCCTAGCCTTGGTGACAGAGCAAGAGTCTGTCTAAATAAATAAATAAATAAATAAATAAAATAAAAATGAAGGCAGTTTTTGGCCAGGCACTGTGGCTCATGCCTGTAATCCCAACACTTTGGGAGGCTGAGGTGGGCAGATCACCTGAGGTTGGGAGTTCAAGACCAGCATGACCAACATGGAGCAACCCCATCTCTACTAAAAATACAAAATTAGGGTGGGGCGTGGTGGCTCATGCCTGTAATTCCAGCACTTTGGGAGACTGAGGCGGGCAGATTACCTGAGGTCGGGAGTTCGAGACCAGCCTACTAACGTGGAGAAACCTGCTCTACTAAAAATACAAAATTAGCCAGGTGTGGTGGCACATGCCTGTAATCCTAGCCACTCGGGAGGCTCAGGCAGGAGAATTGGGTTTGAACCCGGGACGGGAGATTGTGGTGAGCCGAGATCATACCCATTGCACTCCAGCCTGGGCAGCAAGAGCAAAACTCTGTCTCAACAAAAAAAAGAAAAAAAATACAAAAATACAAAATTAGCCAGGCATGGTGGTGCATACCTGTAATGCAGCTACTCGGGAGGCTGAGGCAGGAGACCGCTTGAACCCAGGAGGCAGAAGGTTGTGGTGAGCTGAGATCACACCATTGCACTCCAGCCTAGGCAACAGGAACGAAACCCATCTCAAAAAAAAAAACAAAACAAAACAAAAACAAAAACAAAAACACTGGGCCTGTAATCCAAGCACTTTGGGAGGCTGAGGCGTGGATCGGCACCTGAGGTCAGGCCTTCGAGACCAGCCTGGCCAACGGGTGAAACCCCAACTCTACTAAAAATACAAAAATTAGCCAGGCCTGGTGGCTCACGCCTGTAGTCCCAGCTACTTGGGAGGCTGAGGCAGGAGAATTGCTTGAACCGGGGAGGCGGAGGTTGCAGTGAGCCGAGATCGCGCCACTGCACTCCATCTTGCCTGGGCAACAGACAAGACTCCATCTCAAAAAAAATAAAAAAATAAAAAGAAATAAAATAAAAATAAAATAAAAGAATGAAAGCAGTTTTTAAGGATTTAGTGGCAGTATATAGAATGGATAAGAAAAAAAGAAAAGAGGCCGGGCACGTGGCTCATGCCTGTAATCCCAGCACTTTGGGAGGCCGAGGAGGTGTGGATCACGAGGTCAGGAGTTCAAGACCAGCCTGACCAACATGGTGAAACCCCGTTTCTACTAAAAATACAAAAATTAACCGGGCGTGGTGGTACAGGCCTGTAATCCCAGCTACTCAGGAGGCTCATACAGGAGAACTGCTTGAACTCAGGAGGTGGAGGTTGCAGTGAGCCAAAAGTACGCCACCGTGCTCTAACCTGGGCAGTAGAGCAAGACTCCATCTCAAAAAAAAAAAAAAGAAAAGAAAAAAGAAAAGAAAAGAAAAGAAAAGAGAAAGAGGAATAGCCTGGCCACAGTGGCTCATGCCTGTAATCCCAGCTACTTGGGAGGCCAAGGTGGAGAATCCCTGAGCCCAAGAGTTCAAGGCTGCAGTGAGCCGTGATCACACCACTGCACTATAGCCTGGGCAACAGATGGATAACCTGTCTCAAATAAAGAGGAATAATACCAGGACACGGTGACTCATGCCTGTAATCCCAGCACTTTGGGAGGCTGAGGTGGGCGGATCATTTGAGGTCAGGAGTTCAAGACCAGCCTGGCCAACGTGGTGGAACTCTGGGCCTCTACTAAAATAGACAAAAATTGGGTCGGGCGCCTGTAATCCCAGCTACGTGGGAGGCTGAGGCAGGAGAATCACTTGAACCTGGGAGGCGCAGAGCTTGGAAGTGAGCTGAGATTACACCACCACACTCCAACCTCGGCGACAGAGTGAGACTTGGTCTCAAAAAGAAAAAAAGAAAAGTGGAATAACAGGCAAGTGATACCTGTGAAGGGGCAATAACGCCAGCATGAACTGGATAAGGGTCTAGACTAGACTAAGGGGTCTGAATTAATTATCCAGCAATTATCCAACTGCACAATCCAAGCATACATTTTGGATAAGGGTCTAGACCAGGGACTAATAGAGAAATACTAAGAAGAGGCAGATGTCAGAGATATTCTCAGAGGAGGAGTTAGCAAGATTTGAAATGACTGATATAGGGATGAAGGAAAGGATGTAAAGACAACTAAGGCCAGGTGCAGTGGCTCATGCCTATAATCCCATCAAGCTTTAGGAGGCTGAAGCAGGAGGAGCGCCACTGAGCCCAGGAGTTTGAAACCAGCCTGGGCAACATAGCAAGACCTTGTCTTCAAAAAATAGGCCACAGCCTGGTGGCGCCGCACCTGTAGCCTTATCTCTGAGGCAGGAAGATTTGCTTGAGCCCAAGTATGAATCTAAGGTTTCAGTGAGTTGTGTCTATGCCACTGCACCCAGCTCAAAAGAAAGCAAAGACTCTGTCTCTACAAAATAATAAATAGGCCAGGCATGGTGGTCACGCCCAATCCCAGCACTTTGGGAGGCCGAGGCAAGGATCGAGGTGAGGAGATCGAGACCATCCTGGCCAACACAGTGAAACCCCGTCTCTACTAAAAATACAAAAATTAGCTGGATGTGCATGATACACCTGCAGTCCCAGCTACTCGGAGGCTGAGGCAGGAGAATGCGCGAACCCCGAGGCAGAGCTTGCAGTGAGCTGAGACTGTGTTCACTGCACTCCAGCCTCTGGGCAACAGATTGCACTCCGTCTCAAAAATATATATAAACAATAATAATAAATAAAAATTAAATTAGCCAGGCATGGTGGCACATGCCTAGAGTCCTAGCTACTTGGGAGGCTAAGGTGGGAGGATTACTTGAACCCAGGAGTTTAAGGTTGGCAGGAGAGAGAATTGCGCCACTGCACTCCAAACCCAAACAGTGTGAATTCTCTTTAAAAAAACGAAGACAGTTAAGGATTAAGCATGGGTAACTAGAAAACAGTTCCTACCATTGACTAAAAATAATGACACTAAGTAGGTGGTCTGATGCGTAGTTATTAATGCACACTCAAAGCTTGTCTTTCTTCACAAATCCTTTCCTGAGTTCACCAGCACTGACTCCTTCCTGCTCTGTATCTCAGCCTTAAGTGCCTTGAAGTTTTTGTGTTATATCATTTAATATTCTGACATGTTGAAATAAGAATGGTATTCTTAGCCAGGGTGCTTTCTCACACTTGTAAACCCAGCTCCTTTGGGAGGCTGGGCAGAGATACTTGAGCCCCCAGGAGTTTGAGACCAGCCTGGGCAACATAGTGTCTCATTCTACAAAAAAAATACAAAAAAATTTTTTTTTTTTTGAAACGGAGCCTTGCTCTGTCCCCAAGCTGGAAAATGCAGTGTGTTTTATCTCAGCTCACTGCAACCTCCATCTCCCCAGGTTCAAGCAATTTCCCTGCCTCAGTCTCCCATAGCTGGGATTACAGGTACCCACCATCACACCCGGCTAATCCTTGGTGAGATTTAGTAGAGATGGGGTTTCACCATGTTGGCTTGTAAAGGGACTTGAACTCTTGACTCGTGATCCACCCGCCCCAGCTGTAAATACAAAAATTAGCCAGGTGCGTGGTGGTTCATGCCTGTAGTCCCAGCTACTCGGGAGGCTGAGGTGGGAGGATCGCTGGAGCCTGGGAGGGCAGGACTGCGTGAATGCCATGATCGTGCCACTGCAAGCTCTAGCCTGCATGACAGCACGAGACCCTGTCTCCAAAAAAAAAGAAAGAATGGTATGCTCAGTAAACAAATTCAGTTGTGGTTTCTCTAGGACTGTTTTTATTTGGTATCCTCCTCATAGTGACCAATATTGTGCTGATATTGAACACTCAAAACTAAATTCACATTTTCTCTTTTGCTGAATTCGCATGTCACAGTTTCTCCTTCCTATCCTAATCTAGTTGGCTCAGTAGAGCCTCTGAACCTTCCTGATCAGTTTTTCCTCTTTTTTTTTCAGGGGTTTATATCTGCATAATCAAGGTTCGACCGCAGTCAGAGGAGCTGCTACAGGCCCTCAGGTGGCCGACACCTCAGTCTATAGCGGGCTACACTGGTCAGTAACGACAAGAATGGAATGCAACGACCTCATTCCTTTCATCCCAGCCTCCCTTTATATTAACCAGTCAGAATTGGTTCTTAGCCACAAGCAAGATATCGGAGAGATAAGAGTACTGGGAGTGGACAGAGTTCTTGGGAAGCTAGAGGTATGTTAAGGACTGAACCAAAACAGAACAAGAGATCAAGAATTTGAAAAGATATTTTTCATGCGCACTTCAAGGGCAAAAGAAGTTACTGAGTGACCTAATAAAAATCACCATGGAAATGACTAAATCAAATGAAGAAACTCCGCTCTTCATAATGCCAGGCAGACTCCAGAGTCCAAAATCTAGGCTGGGTCATGAGCTTTGTCAACATACCTAAAGGAGTGCAAAAAGTAAACGATTGGCCGCGCGTGGTGGCTCACGCCTGTAATCCCAGCACTTTGGGAGGCCGAGTGGGTGGATCACAAGATCGAGATCGTCCTGGCCAACATGGTGAAACTTCGTCTCTACTAAAAGTACAAAAATTAGCTGGGCATGGTGGCAGGCGCCTGTAGTCCCAGCTACTCGGGAGGCTGAGGCAGGAGAATCGCTTGAACCCGGGAGGCGGAGCTTGCAGTGAGCTGAGATCGTGCCACTGCACTCCAGCCTGGGTGACAGAGCGAGACTCCCTCTCAAACAACAACAAAAAAGTAAATGATTTATTGTTTGCCTGCCAGCTAGCTAGAAATCCAGATCTTGACAATTATTGTACTGTATATATTTGAGATTGGAACATACTGATACAAAACTGATTTTCTTCTTTTAAATAAAAGGTTTTACCCTTTTCTCCAAGGTCATCTCCAGCTCCCCAGTTCTAGTGGTCACTGGCCATAGCCGTTCTCCCCTCACTCCTGGCCTGGCCATCTACTCTGTAAGAGTGGCTGCAACTCACTTCCTTCCAGCAGATGGCATCACTCTGTTTTCATCAATATTTCCTGTGTACTCACCAGTCAAAGTGAGGCAGTGGTAGTGAGGGCTATGAAAGATAAGTTGGGTGCAGGTAAGCATCAGAGATTCCTATTTATAATCTAGAGAGGAAAAGAAGAAAGAATGTATTACATTAGTGAATTTCCATCTGCAGTTTCCTTGTTTGAAGTTCACTTAACTGGACAGTCAAACTTTTGGTCCAAAATAAATGGAAAAACTCCTGAAATAAATGGTTTAAATTGTGCACTGTTCCAAATAGCATGAGGAAATCTCACACTGTCCTGCTCTGGTCCCCTAGGATGAATCATCTCTTTGTCCAGTGTGTTCATACTTACCACACTATCAGCCCTTTAGTCACTTAGTAGCAGTCTCTGCTATCAAATCAACTGGTATCAAGGTATCACAGTGCAGTGCTTGTTTCAAGTAACCCTTATTTTACTTAATAATGGCTCCAAAGCACAAGAGTGGTGATGCCTGCACTGGGTATGCCAAAAAGAAGCTGAAAGTGCTTCCTTTTAAGTGAAAAGTGGAAGTTCCCCAACTTCCCTTTTCCACTTTTTTCCTTTCTATGTAAGGAAAACATAGTACATAGAGGGTTCAATATTATCTGCAGCATCCACTGAGGGTCTTGGAACATGTTCCCACAGATAAGGGTGGACACAGATGTTATCACAGTTTAGTTAATGGGAAACATTCAGCCACTTGACTAAGATTACTCAAACTAGGTGAGGCATGAATCTTCCAACCTACCCAAATGTAAACTTTTAGGTAGCTTTCTTTAACACTACCTAAATTTTTTACATTTAATTTCTATATTTAAGAATAGTTGTTCGCCAGGCATGGTGGCCCACGCCGTAATTCCAGCACTTTGGGAGGCCGAGGTGGGCAGATCCCTTGAGCTCAGGAGTTCGAGACCAGCCTGGGGAACAAGGCAAAACTCCGCATCAACAAAGTACCAAAAAAAAAAAAAAATCACGGCCGGGCGCGGTGGCTCACGCCTGTAATCCCAGCACTTAGAGAGGCCGAGGCGGGCGGATCACGAGGTCAGGAGATCGAGACCATCCTGGCTAACAGGTGAAACCCCGTCTCTACTAAAAATACAAAAAACTAGCCGGGCGAGGTGGTGGGCGCCTGTAGTCCCAGCTACTGGGGAGGCTGAGGCAGGAGAATGGCGTGAACCCGGGAGGCGGAGCTTGCAGTGAGCTGAGATCCGGCCACTGCACTCCAGCCTGGGCGACAGAGCGAGACTCCGTCTCAAAAAAAAAAAAAAAAAAAAAAAAATTACCTGGGCATGGTGGTACGGACCTGTGGTCCCATCTACTCAGGAGGCTGAGGCAGGAGGATTGCTTGAGACCAGGAGTTCAAGGCTGCAGTGAACAGTGATTGTGCCACTGCACTCCAGCCTGGTGACAGAGCAAGACCCTGTCTCAAAAAAAAAAAAAAAAAAAAAGGAAGGAGGAAGAATAGTTGTCAGTTGAACACGAGTTTGCCAGCCTTGTAACGATTACTCATTTGGCCATATTTTAAACTTTTTTTTTTTTTTTTTTTTTTTTGAGACAGAGTCTTGCTCTGTCACCCAGGCTGAGTGCAATGGCATGATCTCGGCTCACTGCAACCTCCACCTCCCGGGTTCAAGCGATTCTCCTGCCTCAGACTCCCAAGTAGCTCGGATTACAGGAACACACCACCATGCCCTGCTAATTTTTATATTTTTGTAGAAATGGGGTTTCACCATTTTGCCAGGCTGGTCTTTAACTTCTGACCTCAGGTGATCCACCCACCTTGGCCTCCCAAAGTGCTGGGATTACAGGCGTGAGCCACCGCGCCTGGCCAATCTACCTGTTTTGTTGTCTTCAAAAGTATTTAAATCTTTTTGCATCAGGCAATGGGCCAATGTTAACCCTAGAACCAAGACTTAGCTCCCCCAAATTCTGATTCCAGGCATTACCTAGTTTAGGAACAATGCCACATTTGGATAGGATGGGAATAGTTATGAAAAGGTGTTAGAAAAGCAAGAGAACCATCAGTCTCCTTATATTGTATTTGTCACACCCGCTTCCCCACCCCTCAAGGGAAACTACTTAATTACTGGGAACGATCTAAACTAAATTATAGTATATCTCCTAATGGGAAATAGGTTTTTGTTGATGTTTACGTGAGCATCTGGTTTGTACTGACTATTATCCTAAGCACATTTATATGCTTTTGGTTTATTTCTCATAACTCTAGGAGGTAGGTATTTTTTCCCAAGAGCTGAGGAAACTGAGATGCTGGCGCAGTGGCTCACACCTGTAATCCTAGCACTTTGGAAGGCTAAGACTGGAGGATCGCTTGAGCTCAGGAGTTCAAGACCAGGCTAAGCAACACAGCAAAACCTTATCTCTACTAAAAATCCAAAGAATTAGCCAGGCATGGTGGCATGCACCTGAAGTCCTAGCAGGAGGTTGAGGTGGGAGGATTGCCTAAGCCCAGGAGGTTGAAGTTGCAGCGAGGCATGATTGCACCACTGCACTCCAGCCTGGGTGACAGAACGAGACCCTGTCTCAGGAATTTAAAAAAAAAAAAAAAAAGGTATCTCTAGATACCATCACTAGAATGTATTGAAGCAGAGTTTTAAAATCTAGAGACCATGGATCCCCACAAAGAGGTCCATAGATAGAATTCAAGGTGTCCATGACCCTGAGTGGAGAAAAATTGCATCTTCTTTTTTCTTTGAGACAGAGTCTTGCTCTGTCGCCCAGTCTGGAGTGCAGTGGCACCATCTCAGCTCACTGCAACCTCCACCTCCCAGGTTCAAGCGATTATCCTCCCTCAGCCTCCAGAGTAGCTGGGATTGCAGGTGCCCACCACCACGCCCGGCTAATTTTTGTATTTTTAGTAGAGGCGAGGTTTCACCATGTTGGGCACTCCTGATCTCAAATGATGCACCCACCTCAACCTCCCAAAATGATGGGATTACAGGCGTGAGTTACCACGCCCGGCCATGCATCTTTATTTTCAACTGACCACTAACTTAAAGTTAGCACTTTCACTAATTATTAATATAGGCAGCAAACCATCATAATATCAGCAGTATTGTGTGCTTTTGTCACCTACGGAATTCATTGACTATACTTTCAGGGATCATTTCTATAGTTCATTACTAGAGAAGTTTCTCAGAATGTATAGAGAGAGAAAAAAAGAATCCGTAGATATATTCATGTTCCTCCTGCCATATCTAAAAAATATTTCTCACTTAAAAATTACAGTAATCGGCCAGGCATGGTGGCTCATGCCTGTAATCCCAGCACTTTGGACGACCGAGGCAGGTGGATCACAAGGTCAGGAGTTCGAGACCAGCCTGGCCAACATGGTGAAACCCCGTCTCTACTAAAAATAAAAATAAATAAAAATAAATAAAAAATAGCCAGGTGTAATGGCACACACCTGTAATCCCAGCTACTTGGGAGGCTGAGGCAGGAGAATAGCTTGAACGGGGAGGCGGAGGTTGCAGTGAGTCAAGATTATGCCACTGCATTCCAGCCTGGGACAGAGCAAGACTCTGTCTCAAAAAAAAAAAAAAAAAAAAAATACAGTAATCACCAGCCTGGGCAACATGCAAAACCCCATCTCTACAAAAATACAAAATAATTAGCCAGGTGTGATGGCCTGCAGTCCTAGCTACTCTGGAAGCTGAAGTAGGAGGATCACTTGAGCCTGGGCGGCAGAGATGGAGTGAGCTGAGATCTCACCACTGCACCGCAGCCTAGGTGAGAAAGAAAGGCTGTCTCAGAAAAGAAAAAGAAAGAGAGAGAGAGAGGAGAGAGAGAGACAGAAAGAAAAACAGCCAAAAGGCCAGACACAGTAGCTCATGCTTGTAATGCCAGCACTTTGGGAAGCTGAGGTGGGCAGATCACCTGAGGTTGGGAGTTCAAGACCAGCCTGGCCAACACGGTGAAACCCCATCTCCACTAAAAATACAAAAATTAGCTGGGCGTGGTGGCGGGCACCTGTAATCCCAGCTACACAGGACGCTGAAGCAGAAGAATCACTTGAATCTGGGAAGTGGAGGTTGCAGTGAGCCGAAATCATGCCATTGCACTCCAGCCTGGGCAACAGGAGTGAAACTCCATCTCAAAGAAAAAAATAAAAAAGTCAGACGTGATGGTGTGCACCTGTAGTCCTAGTTACTTGGGAGGCTGCAGTAAGCCATGACTGTACCACTGCACTCCAGCCTGAGACCTTATCTCAAAAAAACAAAAACAAAAAAAACAGGCAAGTCTAAAGTTTTATTGAGGATAAGGTTAGATACAAATCAGAGTGCTCCCAAAAAATGACATCCTGAGTAGGAGAAAGGTACTGTGGATTTAAGTGGTCACTAATGATCTAAAAAAAAATGTTTTGGCCAGGCAGTGGCTCACACCTCTAATTCCAGCACTTTGGGAGGCCAAGGCAGGTGGATCACCTGAGGTCAGGAGTTCAAGACCAGCCTGGCCAACATGGTGAAACCCATCCCTACTAAAAATACAAAAATTAGCCAGGCATGGTGGTGGGTGCCTATAATGCCAGCTACTAGGGAGGCTGAAGTCTCGCTCTGTCGCCCAGGTTGGAGTGCAGTGGCGCGATCTCGGCTCACTGCAAGCTCTGCCTCCTGGGTTCAGGCCATTCTCCTGCCTCAGCCTCCCGAGTAGCTGGGACTGCAGGTGCCTGCCACCACGCCCAGCTAAATTTTTTGTATTTTTAGTAGAGATGGAGTTTCACCGTGTTAGGATGGTCTGGATCTCCTGACCTCGTGATCCGCCCGTCTCGGCCTCCGAAAGTGCTGGGATTACAGGCGTGAGCCACCACGTCCAGCCAAGTCTTCTCATTTTTATTACTCAAAAGTTTCATTCTTTATTTAGCTTTCTGACTCTGTGCTTGTGCCTTCAGCACTTTCACAACAATTTTCTTCTCCTCGATAAGGAAAGCACACTTGATCCAGTCATGAACACATTTAGCATACATGGAACCTGACATGTTTTTTGTTTTGGACAATCTCGTAAGAACTTCAGGTTTTACAGCATGAATCCCTTGAAGTCTGCCTGGGCACATGCCACATGCAGATTTTGGTGCTTTCCCATCCTTCTTGGTATAGAGGTAAACAATTCTATTATCAAGGGTTTGGGACAGCCTAGTTTTGTTAGAGGCTGTATTGTAGGAAAGCCTGCATTGGTATGTCAAACGCTGGACCATTCTGAGTGCCTGCAGACAATGTCCCTGGAAGAGGAAGAAGTGGTAACCAGCATTTTAAAGTAGCAGAGGATTTAAAGCATCCTTTTAAATCTAAGAGGAAGAAATAACAGGCTCAAGAATTGGAGTTTTACTACTCTGGAGATAGGAAGAAGTCAAAAAGAGGTGGTTGAACCAAGCATAGTTTACAACTGAAGCTCTCTTCTCTCTGAGAGAGCTGGGTTTTGGATACTTCTAACAGATACTCTTATTACTATTTTTAGTCGTAAGTTTTAAAATGCAGCATCTGCTGGAGGTTGCAGTGAGCTGAGATCGTGCCACTGCCCTCTAGCCTGGGGGACAGAGAGCAAAACTCTGTCTCAAAAAATTAAATTTAAAGGCTGGACGTGGTGGCTCACGCCTGTAATCCCAGCACTTTCGGAGGCCGAGACGGGCGGATCACGAGGTCAGGAGATCCAGACCATCCTAACACGGTGAAACTCCATCTCTACTAAAAATACAAAAAATTTAGCTGGGCGTGGTGGCAGGCGCCTGCAGTCCCAGCTACTCGGGAGGCTGAGGCAGGAGAATGGCGTAAACCCGGGAGGCGGAGCTTGCAGTGAGCCGAGATCGCGCCACTGCACTCCAACCTGGGCGACAGAGCGAGACTTCACCTCCAAAAAAAAAAAAAATTAAATTTAAAAAATGCAGCATCTGGCCAGGCGCGGTGGCTGAAGCCTGTAATCCCAGCACTTTGGGAGGCCGAGATGGGCGGATCACGAGGTCAGGAGATCAAGACCATCCTGGCTAACACAATGAAACTCCATCTCTACTAAAAAAAAAAAATACAAAAAACTAGCCGGGCGACATGGTGGGCGCCTGTAGTCCCAGCTACTCGGGAGGCTGAGGCAGGAGAATGGCGTAAACCCAGGAGCCGGAGCTTGCAGTGAGCTGAGATCCGGCCACTGCACTCCAGCCTGGGCGACAGAGCCAGGCTCCGTATCAAAAAAAAAAAAAATGCAGCATCTGTCCATGGTTGTTATAAAATAACTATTATCGGCCGGGCGCGGTGGCTCAAGCCTGTAATCCCAGCACTTTGGGAGGCCGAGACGGGCGGATCACGAGGTCAGCAGATCGAGACCATCCTGGCTAACACGGTGAAACCCCGTCTCTACTAACAAAATACAAAAAACTAGCCGGGTGAGGTGGCGGGCGCCTGTAGTCCCAGCTACTCGGGAGGCTGAGGCAGGAGAATGGCGTGAACTCGGGAGGCGGAGCTTGCAGTGAGCTGAGATCCGGCCACTGCACTCCAGCCCGGGCGACAGAGCGAGACTCTGTCTCAAAAAAAAAATAAATAAATAAATAAAATAAAATAAAATAAAATAAAATAACTATTATCTTGTTTTGTTATGGCCAATGTATAGATCATTGTGAAGATTCAGCCATCCTCAAGCGGTTCACTGGCTCTTACCGGATCCTGCTCTTGACCCTCTTTGCAGTGCTGGCATCAACAGCTTTCATCTTCCTAGGTAAACAGTCCTTATATTCAATACCATGGACTTTGACATGGAAACTGCTCTTTTTTTTTTGAGATAGTCACACTCTGTCACCCAGGCTGGAGTGCAGTGGTGTGATCTCGGCTCACTGCAACCTCCACCTCCCAGGTTCAAGCAATTCTCTGCCTCAGCCTCCCAAGTAGCTGGGATTACAGGTGCCCACCACCACGCCCAGCTAATTTTTTGTATTTTTGGTAGAGACAGGGTTTCACCATCCTGGCCAGGCTGGTCTTGAACTCCTGACCTCGTGATTCACCCACCTCGGCCTCCCAAAGTGCTGGGATTACAGGCCTGAGCCACTGTGCCCAGCTGAAACTGCCTTCATTTTATTTCACAAACTAATAAGGATGAAAATTAGCTGCTTATCACATGTAATTTTAACAAGCAGTGTAAACTAAGTTTGCCTTCTAGTCCTAGTAACCTAGTGGATTAAAGGTCCTCCTCAGCCGGGCGCCGTGGCTCACACCTGTAATCCCAGCACTTTGGGAGGCCGAGGCGGGTGGGTCACCTGAGTTCAGGAGTTCGAGACCAGCCTGGCCAACATAGTGAAAATTCATCTCTACTAAAAATAACAAAAATTAGCTGGTGTGGTGGCACACGCCTGTAATCCCAGCTACTTGGGAGGCTGAGGCAGAAGTGCTTGAACCTGGGAGACGGAGGTTGCAGTGAGCCAAGATAGTGCCACTGCACTTCGGCATGTGCTACAGAGCAAGACTACATTTCAAAAACAAGAACAAAAAAAAAGGCCCTCCTCTGGATTTGGCAAATACACACCGCTCAGAAGTGGAAGCCACTACTAAATCTTTTTTTTTTTTTTTTTTTGAGACGGAGTCTTGCTCTGTCGCCTGGGCTGGAGTGCAGTGGCCGGATCTCAGCTCACTGCAAGCTCCGCCTCCCGGGTTCCCGCCATTCTCCTGCCTCAGCCTCCCGAGTAGCTGGGACTACAGGCGCCCGCCACCTCGCCCGGCTATTTTTTTGTATTTTTTAGTAGAGACGGGGTTTCACCGTGTTAGCCAGGATGGTCTCGATCTCCTGACCTCGTGATCCACCCGTCTCGGCCTCCCAAAGTGCTGGGATTACAGGCTTGAGCCACCGCGCCCGGCAACTACTAAATCTTGAGGTATAACAGCTACTTTTGCTGAAATTCATAGTTAGGGATAATTCAAGTAATACAACAGACTGGGTGCAATGGTTCATGCCTGTAATCCTAGCACTTTGGGAGGCTAAGGTGGGATGGCTTGAGTCTAAAAATTTAAGACCAGCCTGGGCAACACAGTGAGACCCCATTTCCACAAAAAAAACTTAAAAATTAGCTGGGTGTGGTGGTGGCACACATCTGTAGTCCCAGCTACTAGGGAAGCTGAGGCAGGAGTATTGCTTGAGCCAGGGAATTCAAAGTGGCAGTAAACCATGATTGTGCCACTATACTCCAGCAATATCCTGTGATGATTTTTGAGATGGAGTCCCATTGTCACCCAGGCTGGCGTGAAGTGGTGCAATCTCGGCTCACTGCAACCTCCACCGCCCAGTTTCAAGCGATTCTCTTGCCTCAACCTCTCGAGTAGCTGGGATTAGACACCCACTACCACAACTGGCTAATTTTTGTATTTTTAATGACATGTTGGCCAGGTTGGTCTTGAATGCCTGACTTCACGTGATCTGCCCACCTAGGCCTCTCAAAGTGCTGGGATTACAGGCGTGAGCCACCATTCACAGCCTAAAAAAAAAAAGAAAAAAAGTTAACACATCACTATCATGTACATTCCATTTCCCCACCTTTTTTTTTTTTTTTTTTTTGAGACGGGAGTCTGGCTGTCGCCCAGGCTGGAGTGCAGTGGTGCCATCTCTACTCACTGCAAGCTTCGCCTCCCGGGTAATCACCATTTTCCTGCCTCAGCCTTCCAAGTAGCCGGGACTACAGCAGGTCACCACAACCAGCTAATTTTTTGTATTTTTAGTAGAGATGGGGTTTCACTGTTAGCCAGGATGGTCTCATCTCCTGACCTTGTGATCTGCCCACCTCGGCTTCCCAAAGTGCTGGGATTACAGGCGTGAGCCACCACGCCCGCCCATTTCCCCACCTTTTAGTCAAAAGCTGAAGGTAACTCTAAAGTGGATTAAATTGGGATAAAAACTTCCTGTAATAGTGCATTACTATTACTTATTTTGAAGAATTATTTTTAGCAATATTCTCATTCTAGAGTTGACTTTGCCCTTTAAGGCCTTCCTCAGATATGCCTTGTGACATTTCCTTTGTCGTTTTTCCAGCATATAACGCCTTCCTAAACAAGATACAAACAGTTCCAGTTGTGTATGTACCAACTCTAGGAACACCACAGCCAGGTAAAAAAGCCTCTGTCCTCTCTTTGAAAAGCTCAGACATACACATTTAGTTCACTGAACTTTTCCCTCTTCTTTAGGTTCTTTTAACTCCACAACTTCTCCCCCTCACTTCATGAGTCTACAACCTCCACTGGCCCAAAGTCGGCTGCAACATTGGTTATGGAGTATAAGACACTAATCTCTGCTTGGACAAGTTCCTTTTAACTGTAGGGGAATGAAGATTTCTAGTCCTAGACAAGAAGCCTAACAACAACTTCTACAGTAAGTTTCCAGATAAGGCTTCTGAGAACTATAAATAAAGCATCCTAAGCTGTTTCTTAAAACTGGTGTGTTGGACTGTGTTGTAGAGAGTTAACTGTCAGACGGGCGTGGTGGCTCACGGCCTGTAATCCCAGCACTTCAGGAGGCTGAGGCAGGAGGATCACCAGGTCCAGCAGTTTGAGACCAGCCTGACCAACATGGTGAAACCCCGTCTCTACTAAAAATACAAAAATTAGCCGGGCATGGTGGCAGACACCTGTAATCCCAGCTACTTGGGAGGCTGAGACAAAGAATTGCTTGAACCCCGGAGGCAGAGGTTGCAGCTCCCACCACTGCACTCCAGCCTGGGAGACAGAGCAAGGCTCCATCTCTTAAAAAACAAAAACAAAAAAACACACACACCCAACACAACACTTGAGCTAGTATCACAATTAAAAAAACAAATTTACCCAATGAGCCTTAGGTGGTTAAAAATGCCCCCAAAGGGACTTTTAAAGTACTTGGCCACTTACGTGCCCCAAATGACTCTAATATTCTTCTCTTTCTGGTTGCCCCTGAATACTTGAGACAGGAACTTCCTAACCCTTAAACAAGACAATAAACAGGATTTATCCAAAATGTGTTTATTGAGATGGTTTCCCACTCATCTTGATTCAGAGTGCCTTTAGTGCTGCTTCCTCCTAAAGGAACATCCTGGAGGAAAAAGATTCAGAGATTAGCTGACATCAGTCCAGGTATTCTGCCCACCTCTCCCACAAAAGAAGCAGATGCATGATGATCCACCACATCTTTTATTTTTCTCAACTCTTAGCTACCTACTCATTTATATATCACTTTGGTCACTTCATATCAACTTGAGCCCTTTTATCACCCATTGATCCCCGCTTTAGACAGTAGTGCTTTGAGATTAACACATAGCTTTTGGTAGTAGCTACTTGAAAAAAAAAAATTTTGTAAATCCAACACTTCCTGTCTAAAAATTTACATTATACATGGTCTCTGTCACTGTAAGACTGAAAGATCCTGAGAAACGTTTCCATTTCTAGAAAACAAACTGAAAGCCCCAAATCACAACATTAGTACACCATTTACCTTCTGTAAGCCTTGCTTTTCCTCCTGTAGGCTGGCAGAGGACAGTGGAGCAGCCAACACACAAAACTACCGTTTGTGCATGGCTAAAGACCGTGGTGATTTTATAGCATCCTGAAAGAAAAGCAGATAACATTTTTTTCCTCTATTACACCCATATCTTTCCTGCACTTATGCCCAACTCATCATCCATTACATTGTTTCCCAACACAAAAAAAGTAGGGATTGTATGTGAAATGTGATGGGAAATCACGCTGAAATGAATCACTTCTCCTAAGATGCAAAACTTTGCCAGTCTCATACATTCGAATTTTAAGAGTATCAGGGAAAATATTTTCCACAGGCGAAGAAACTGAAGCTGCTGGACAGCTTCAAGGATATGAGACAGCTCACACTACAACATTTTCCAACTCTTATTGTCCAGTGCTTTCCCCACTACAGCAAGTCGTCTCCTCACCTGGGCATTTCACATCCATGAAGTAGGAATTGGGGCTCTGCACCAGGCGTTTCTTCTTGTGTTTCCTCTTCTCCTCTTCTGGGGAGGGATGAAGGAGATCCTTTGCGAGCTAACAGGGACAGAAATGCAGAGATTTAGAAACCAACGGCGAAAATGGGATGGTCGAAAACAGCCCCCACTGTCACACACCGGGGAGAGCTCGCCCCTCGCTGCCCCTGGTGTCTGCGCAGCTGGGCCGCCATCTTATCTCCTCTCCGCTCCCGTCTATGCGGGTGGCCCGTGGGCCGCTGCGGTCCCTGGAGTTAATGTCCTAAGAAGTGCAAAGGGTAAATGAGAACCCTCTACGATCCGAAATCAGCGTGAGGGGAGCGTGCAGACAGAACAGCGAGATCTCCGCCGAAAGCTGGACCAAAGCACTCACAGGCATGTTCTCGTGTGGGTAGGTCGTCACCGCCGGAAAAGAGCGAAAGCGGAAATCCTGCCCCTTATATTGTGCACACTACAGGAAATGACGCAAGGATCTTGTGCCACCATGCTTGGAAGGTCCTACTTTGGTCTGATGCGGTGGAGAGACAAGGGAGCTGCCATTTTCGGAAGGTCTTCAACTGTTAGTTGTGACACATATGCGTCACCATGTTGAAAGGGTTACCTTGCTAATTTAAGGTCAGCGTTTGATCACTATCCAGGGATAAATGGACACTTTTAAAATTTTGTGTCATACTTTGACATTTGGAGCCTAATAGGAAAGGTTAAGGAAAACACCAGGGAGAAGGAGCCATATCCGGGACTTCCGTACTATTTTTTAAATACCTATATTCTTAACTCTTTTTCTATTGGTTTAATTTAACAATTTAGGCCGGGCGCGGTGGCTCATGCGTGTAATCCCAGCACTTTGGGAGGCCAAGGCGGGTGGATCACCTGAGGTCAGCAGTTCGAGACCAGCCTGGCCAACATGGTGAAACCCCGTCTCTACTTAAAAAAAATGCAAAATTTAGCCAGAGATGGTGGTGCATTCCTGTAATCCCAGATACTTGGGAAGCTGAGGCAGGAGAATCGCTTGAATCAAGGAGGAGGAGATTGCAGTGGACCGAGACCGAGTCATTGCACTCCAGCCTGGGCAGCAAGAGCAAACTCGGCCTCAAAAAAAAAAAAAAAAAAGTCAGATTCCAGTGAAAGCAGGTATACCAGAATAAGTATAATTATACCAGAATAAGTACAGTTCAGAGAGGTGAGCACGAATAATACATTGCTAAGGACGAAAAGTCCAGATCCAGGCAAAATAAGATAAAAAGAACTGATGGATTTTTATCAGGACAATTCACAAAAATTGAAGAGTAATTTAAAGGATTGTAAAGCTGAGTATGGTGGCCCACATCTGTAATCCCAGCACTTTGGGAGGCTGAGGTGGGAGTATTGCTTGAGGCTCAGAGTTCAAGACCAGCCTGGGCAACATAGTGAGACTTTGTCTTTACAAAATATTGAAACATTAGCCAGGTGTGGTAGCTGGTGTCCGTAGTCCCAGCTATTTGGGAGGATGAGGCAGAAGAATGGTTTGGGCCCAGGAGCTCGAGGCTGCAGTGACCTAGGATAGTGCCACTGTATTCCAGTGTGGGTGACAGAATGACCCTGTCTCTAAAAAACATAAAAATAGACCAGACACAGTGGCTCACGCCTCTAATCCCAGCACTTTGGGAGGCCGAGGTGGGTGGATCCTTTGAGGTCAGAGTTCGAGACCAGCCTGACCAGCATTATGAAACCCCGTCTCTACTAAAAATACAAAAAAAATTAGCCAGGTGTGGTGTTGGGTACCTGTGATCCCAGCTACTCTGGAGGCTGAGGCAGGAGAATCACATGAACCTGAGAGGCAGAAGTTGCAGTGAGCCGAGATCCTGCCATTGTACTCCAGCCTGGGTGACAGAGCAAGACTTGATCTAAAATAAATAAACAAACAAACAAACAGGTGAGACATGGTTTGGTCAGTGAAAAGACTCAAGGAGATAATGAGAGGTGAGAGAATAGACAAAAGGAGATTGAATAGTTTAGCTTGAGAAGGGACAAGCATGGACACGGAAGGTGATGGGGATAAGTGAAATGACAAAAGATGCCTTCTTAACAACCAGTACACATTTTTTTTTTTTTTTTTTAGACACAGTTTTGCTCTTGTTGCCCAGGCTGTCGTGCAATGGTGCCATCTCAGCTCGCCGCAACCTCTGCCTCCCGCGTTCAAGCAATTCTCCTGCCTCAGCCTCCCGAGTAGCTGGGATTACAGGCATGCGGCACCACGCCCGGCTAATTTTGTATTTTTAGTAGAGACGGGGGTTTCACCATGTTGGCCAAGCTGATATTGAACTCCCGACCTCACGTGATCCGCCCACCTCAGCCTCCCAAAGTGCTGGAATTACAGGTGTGAGCCACCACACCCAGCCTTTAATTTTTTTATAGGCAGCCGGAATAGGCTCGAGAGAGACTCCCTTGAATAATTTTTTATTTGCCGGTTGCGGTGGCTCATGCCTGTAATCCCAGCACTTTGGGAGGCTGAGGCGGGCGGATCATGTGAGGTCGGGAGTTGGAGACCAGCCTGGCCAACATGGTGAAACCCCGTCTCTACTAAAAATACAAAAAAAAATTTTAGCTAGGTGTGGTGGTGGGTGCCTGTAATCCCAGCTACTTGGGAAGCTGAGGCTGGAGAATCGCTTGAACCCAAGAGGCGGAGGTTGCAGTGACCAGAGATTGAGCCATTGCACTTCAGCCTGGGTGACAAGAGCAAAACTTTGTCTCAAATAATAAAAATAAAAATAAAGGCTGGGCGCAGTGGCTCACACCTGTAATCCCAGGCCTTTGGGAGGCAGAGGTGGATGGATCACCTGAGGTTGAGAGTTCGAGACCAGCCTGACCAACATGGAGAAACCCCGTCTCTACTAAAAATACAAAATTAGCTGGGGGTGGTGGCGGATGCCTGTAATTTCAGCTACTCGCGAGGCTTAGGCAGGAGAATCGCTTGAATCTGGGAGCCGAAAGTTGCGGTTAGCCAAGATCACACCATTGCACTCCAGCCTGGGCAACAAGAGCAAAACTCCGCCTCAAAATAAATAATTAAAAAAAAAAAAAAATAGGCCGGGCACGGTGGCTCACGCCTGTAATTCCAGCACTTTGGAAGGCCAAGGCAGACGGATCACGAGGTCAGGAGATCGAGACCATCCTGGTTAACATGGTGAAACCCCGTCTCTACCTAAAATACAAAAATTTAGCCAGGTGGTGGCAGGCGCCTGTAGTCCTAGCTACTCAGGAGACTGAGGCAGGTGAATGGCGTGAACCTGGGATGCGGAGCTTGCAGTGAACCGAGATTGTGCCACTGCACTCCAGCCTGGGCAACAGAGCGAGACTCCGTCTCAAAAAGAAAAATAGGGCCGGGCGCGGTGGCTCACGCCTGTAATCCCAGCACTTTGGGAGGCCAAGGTGGGTGGATCACAAGGTCAAGAGATCGAGACCATCTGGCCAACGTGGTGAAACCCCATCTCTACTAAAAATACAAAAATTAGCTGGGCTTCGTGGCAGGCACCTGTAATCTCAGCTATTCCAGAGGCTGAGGCACAAGAATCGCTTAAACCAGGGAGGTGGAGGTTGCAGTGAGCCGAGATCGTCCCACTGCACTCCAGCCTGGCGACAGAGCAAGGCTGTGTCTCAAAAAAATTAATTAATTAATTAATTAAAAATAAATAAATTAAAAAAATTTTTTGAGACAGGATCTTACTCTATCACCGAGTCTGGAGTGCAGTAGCATAATCATGGCTCACTACAGCCTTGGACTCCTGGGCTCAAGTGATCTGCCCACTTCTGCCCCCCAGGTAGCTGGGGCTGGGACTACAGGCGCACACCACCATGTATAGCTTATTTATTTATTTATTTATTGTCGAAGCAGAGTCTCAGTATGTTGCCCAGGCTGGTCTTGAACTCCTGGACCCAAGGGATCCTCTCACGTTGGCCTCCCAAAGTGCTGGGATTACAGGTGTGAGCCACCACACCGGGTCTTAAACAATTTCTTTCTTTCGTTTTTCGTATTTTTTCCACCCCTAGCACACATATAGCAAGAATAATTTTTTTCTTTTTTTTTCTTTTTTTTTTTTTGAGACGGAGTCTCGCTCTGTCGCCCAGGCTGGAGTGCAGTGGCCGGATCTCAGCTCACTGCAAGCTCCGCCTCCCGGGTTCCCGTCATTCTCCTGCCTCAGCCTCCCGAGTAGCTGGGACTACAGGCGCCCGCCACCTCGCCCGGCTAGTTTTTTGTATTTTTTTTAGTAGAGACGGGGTTTCACCGTGTTAGCCAGGATGGTCTCGATCTCCTGACCTCGTGATCCGCCCGCCTCGGCCTCCCAAAGTGCTGGGATTACAGGCTTGAGCCACCGCGCCCGGCCAAGAATAATTTTTTTCTAAAGGCAGGGATATACTTGTTTCTTTGTAGCCATGCTGTCCATATTTCAGCTTCCTGGTGGAGTACTGCACCTTAAGTGGGCCATATTAAAAGATCCACGTGAAGAATGACATTTTTAGTTCAAATCTCTGTTTTCTTAAGCTATTTGGTCAGATAAATCACACATGCGGCCCCCATTAGAGAGGTCGTTCCAACTGAAGCACCAGGACGTGTCTAGGTAGGCTGTGAGTCTTGGGGCGGTGGGGCCGATTCTGTAAAACTAATTTACGTTTTCACCCTGTTCCACCAGGGGGCAGACTGACTCAACAAATAACCTACTTCTGCGCATCCCGCTTTTTTCAAAGGGAATTGGGATCCATAGAACTAAGGGCTTGGACAACTAACGCTAAAATTCTAGGACTGACTTTTACGCAGCCCCAGAAACCGATGATAACTCATCTTCTAGCTTCGTTGAATAGCACCTCCAAAAATCAGCCCCATTTTTTTTTTTTCAATTTCTAGTGCCCTCCCTACCTTCACCGTTATTCCCAAAACTCTTTCTCTCTTCCCCTAATCCCTCTAAAATTTCTCTTCCCCTGGTCGTCGTGGTTAAACCTCTACTTCCCTTCACCCCAGACTCTCGCCTCAGAATAGAAGAGTAAGGTCGTAAGAGGGGAGCTACAGTTACCAAAAGGCTGTGGAAAATAGCGAGACAGGTAGGCCGGCCTAAGCTGGGAAGGGAAAACCGAGAGAGCAGAGGCCGGGCTGGCCGCCTTGGCCTGCCCAAAAGGGTGGGCGGGCAGGGGGTGGAGCCTGGAGGGGTGCCGCCTCTCCTTTTCCCGGAGCCTGGGCGGAGAGGGAGGAAAACTTCTTCCTGGCCTGGGCTCTGTGCTGCTCTGTTTGCCAACCGTCCAGTCCCGCCTACCAGTGCCGGGAGCTCCCCACCCCTCCCCCGGCTCCCCCGGTGTCCGCCATGGCCAAAGCCTACGACCACCTCTTCAAGTTGCTGCTGATCGGGGACTCGGGGGTGGGCAAGACTTGTCTGATCATTCGCTTTGCAGAGGACAACTTCAACAACACTTACATCTCCACCATTGGTGAGCCCGCTGGCCATGTCCCAGACCCCTACTGTCTTGTGACCTCCTTCTCAGGCTCCCGGATTACTAGTGACCCCAATTTTCAGTCCTCTTAGAGTAAGGCTCCTAAATTCTAGTCCCTCAACCCCTGGCTCTGACCCCTCCCCCATGCATGTCTCTGTATGGTAACCAAACCTCTCACCTCTCTGAGGCCTTCAGGTAACTCTTCAACTGCTGCCAGCTCCTCATTTTCTTGGTGCCATCACCTTAGTTTCCCAAAATCCACAAGAACTCTTCTTTTTCTCTGTGCCCCTCTTCCCCTACCCCCACCACTTAGAACTCTCTCGATCCATTCTCCACGTTTCCTGTATCCCTGTCTGCCACATCTTTTTCTCCCGATCCGATCTGTTAGCCTCTTTCCCTCTTGCCGACCTTCAAACTCTCCCACTGCGTCCCCAGCTCACCATCTACTTCCCAGGTTCCCTGCCCCAGTCTCCCTGCACCTCAGCTGAACAGGGGTTTGGGAAGGGTGGAACAAGGTGGCTGGGTGTGCTGGAGGGCGGCCCAAGGACTGTGATCATGAATATGCAGCCAGCTTGGTGAGGAACGTGGAAATGAGGGGACTTTTGGGGTCTCTGAGTCAGCCTGGTGACTCATCCTCCTCCCAGGGGCCCCCAGCAGGCTTGGGGGAGGTGCCCAAGTTTCTACTAAGAAGAACATTGTCTCCCCTCCTCCCTTCTTTCTTCATCTCCTCTGGCTTGGGAAATAGACAGGAAGAGTCTTATGACAATTCTGGTTACAAAGGAAAAGGAAAAATGCCCCCCTTTCCTAATTGTCTCAAAAGTAATCCTGTTTAGCCTCAGACTTTCCTAGTGCCAAGTTTGGCCCACTAGTTAATTCACATAGACTGGCTTCAGCTGCTTTTTTCCTTACTCTCTACTAGGAGGGTGGGTGAAATACCAAGAGTAGAGGGCTCTAAGAAAACAGAGAAGAGGAATGTGAAAGTAATATCTGGTGGGGAGACAGAGACTGAATTCAGAGAGTTGTCAGCTGGTATAGCTGAATGGACCCAAGAGGTGGCCTAAGGATCTTAAGCCTCCATGCAGAATTTTCATCACCTTTTCCCTCCCCAAATCCATAAAACGTAAGTAAAAATAGTATTCTTGCTATACAAATACAGCTTTGGGAAAATTCTCCTAGCTTGGCATTTCCAACAAGATTGCTCCCCAAGTGCCTCTCCTGCAGAATTTCTGGTGCTGACACTGCTCCCTTCCTATCCCTCCCATCACACAGTTTTACATGTGTGCGTGCATGTCTCAACTTCAGTGCATACTTTCCACCCCTAGGAATTGATTTCAAGATTCGCACTGTGGATATAGAGGGGAAGAAGATCAAACTACAAGTCTGGTAAGTGAATCCTCTGGGACGCCTCACCAGACTTCCTCATTTACCTCCTACACGCTTTTCCTTCTATTTTGTTTCATTTTTCTTCCTTTCCTCATTGCTCCTTCTAGCACTTCTAATCTATTTCTCTGGATGCACTCAGCTGTCCTTCGTCTCTCTTCCTGCTCTCCCAACTAGTTCCAGCTTTTTTGTAACTCTTGCCTCCTCTGGCTACAGAGCATCCTCTTAATTTGACAACAAACAACTGTTCAGTCATAATGTGGAAACAGGCTGTGAACCGTTAAATGGCAAAGGCAGAATTAAGACTTGACTCTAAGTCTAGTGTTTTCTCCAAAATATGGTGAGCCCAGAGAGCCAAATGTAGACCCTGAAGGGGTTTAAGTGGTATGAAGCTTAGTGGAGGCATAATGCTATGACATATAAGAGCAGAGTGGTGCACAAATCCGGTTCTTTTACTTATCTGCTGCCTGACCTTCATGAATTATTCAGCCTATCCAAATCTGTTTCCTCTTTTTTTTTTTTTTTTTTTTTGAGACAGAGTCTTGCTCTTATCGCCCAGGCTGGAGTGCAATGGCACAATCTCAGCCCACCGCAACCTCCGCCTCCTGGGTTCAAGTGATTCTCCCACCTCAGCCTCCCAAGTAGCTGGGATTACAGGTGCCTGCCACCATGCCCGGCTAATTTTTGTATTTTTAGTAGAGACGAGGTTTCACCATGTTGGCCAGGCTGGTCTCGAACTCCTGACCTCAGATGATCCACCCGCCTCGGCTTCCCAAAGTGTTGGGATTACAGGCGCGAGCCACGGCCCCCGGCATGTTTCCTTATTTGTAAAATAGGGACAATAATACATGTCTTACAAGGAGAGAGTAAGGATTAGATAAAATGATACATATGCAGTGCTGGACACATAGCAAGCATTCAATGAATAAGCAAAGACATCTTGTTTCTTGGGCCACTACCATCTCTGGAAATCAGGTCAACTGTCTTTAATCCCACTCCCCTTTACTTTTCCTTAATCTGTTGCCCCACCATGTTGCAAAAGCTAAATTCTTGCGAGAGAGGAAGAATTCTTCCATTAGAGAATTCTTTCCTCTCTTCCATTCCATGAAACCTTCTCCTTCTTTAGGGACACGGCTGGCCAAGAGCGATTCAAGACAATAACTACTGCCTACTACCGTGGAGCCATGGTATGAAGTGTGGGTCTGGACAAAGGATGAAGGATGAGGCCACAGAATATATTATGAATACAAAGGGTCAGGGGTTGAGGCAGGTAAAAATGGGAGGGGTGTAGTGTGGGTTGCAGAGGACCCAACGTGGCCTAGTGTTTAGACCCATGGATGGAACTTGGTGGGTCACTTACAGGGCAGTGGGAAGCCTCAATGGGAATATGGTCCAGGTTGAATTTTGTCATCTCCCAGGGCATTATCCTAGTATACGACATCACGGATGAGAAATCTTTCGAGAATATTCAGAACTGGATGAAAAGCATCAAGGAGGTGAGGACCCTCCAGAAGAGATGGGGGAACTGGATAGAACCTGGAGAATGAAGGGAGCCATAAGGATAGGCAGGACCTAACTTTTTTTTTTTTTTTTTTGAGATGAAGTTTCACCCTTGTTGCCTGGGCTGGAGTGCAATGGCACCATCTTGGCTCACTGCAACCTGACTCCCGGGTTCAAATGATTCTCCTGCCTCAGCCTCCTAAGTAGCTAGGATTACAGGCATGCACCGCCATGCTCAGCTACTTTTTTATTTTTAGTAGAGATGGGGTTTTACCATGTTGATCAGGCTGGTCTTGAACTCCTGCATCAGGTGATCCACCCGCCTTGGCCTCCCAAAGTGCTGGGATTACAGGTGTGAGCCACCGCACCCAGCTGGTGGGACCTAACTTTTACTTGTCTTTTGCCCCCCCAGAATGCCTCGGCTGGGGTGGAACGCCTCTTGCTAGGGAACAAATGTGACATGGAGGCCAAGAGGAAGGTGCAGAAGGAGCAGGCCGATAAGGTGAGGGCCAGGCTGAGCAATTTCTAGAACTGGGCTGGGAGGGCCAAGATAGGTTGCATTGCAGAGGACTTGGCTGCTGTCCTTAATTCAATTCTCTCCTTCCCACTTCACCCCTTATAGTTGGCTCGAGAGCACGGGATCCGATTTTTCGAAACTAGTGCTAAATCCAGTATGAATGTGGATGAGGTGAGATCCACACCCCCATCCCTGACCAAGAGAGGAAGTATTAAAAGGTAGATTCTCCTCCCTCCAAACTGATTCTATTCCCCACTTTAGGCTTTTAGCTCCCTGGCCCGGGACATCTTGCTCAAGTCAGGAGGCCGGAGATCAGTAAGTTGGTTTTGCTGGACTAGGTACAACTCTGGTGTGTGTGTGTTGGTGTTGATAAGAACTGAGGGGAGCAATGCTAAGATTTCTCATGAGGGTGGATTCACTTCAAACAGTTTATACCCTCACACCCTAACCAGCCATTCACACCATGACCCCTGTGCCCTTCTCCCTCTAGGGAAACGGCAACAAGCCTCCCAGTACTGACCTGAAAACTTGCGACAAGAAGAACACCAACAAGTGCTCCCTGGGCTGAGGACCCTTTCTCGCCTCCCCACCCTGGAAGCTGAACCTGAGGGAGACAGGGCAAAGGGACTGAGCAGGGGAGAAATAGCAGAGGGGCTTGGAGGGACACATAGGTAGATGGTAAAGAGAATGAGGAATAAAAGGAGAAGAGAAAAGGGAAAAGCAGAAAGGAAAAGAAGGAAGAGAGAGGAGGGAGAAGGGAGAGGAACGGATTGAGGAAGTGAAAGAAGGTAAGGAGGTAAGAAGAGGGAGGAGGAAAGGAAGGGGAGATGGCCTCAGGCTTCAGACCTTACCTGGGTTTTCAGGGCAAACATAAATGTAAATACACTGATTTATTCTGTTACTAGATCAGGTTTTAGGGTCCTGCAAAGGGCTAGCTCGGCACTACACTAGCAGATTTGCTCCTGTTCTGTCACTTTTCATGGTCTTTAATAAAGGCCACCATTTGCACAAATGTTCCTGTTTTGGGTAACTTGGATTCTTGTCAGAATTGTTCTCCACTCAAATCCAATTACTGTGTCTTCAAAGTGATTGATCTGCCTGAATCAGGCTGGGTTTCTGTGGAACCAGGACTAATCCTACCGCTGTCTCTTCCCCACTGTTCAGTTGGTAAGGAAAATAGCAAAGAGCAGGAGCTAGAGTGATCTGAAGGTCTGGATATCCTCTTTCCGCTATGGGGTCTGGATGCCCTTGTGGGCAGAGCCTTGTCCTGAGCACAGGAAATTCCAAGCGAGAAGGACTCTTAACAGTCCTAGCCTCAGGGAAATAACTGCACCTAGTGTTTTATCCAGTGATTTGTGCAAGCTTCTTTGATTCTGCTAGCAATCCATTTAGGTATTTGATAGGCATTAATATCTGCTTTTATTAGTGAGGAAAATGAGAAGTTCATTTATTCATAGATGTCTATTGAGTAATTTAAATATATATTGAGCGTCTACTAAGTGCCAGGCACTATGGCCAGTTATTTTATTTATTTATTCATTTATTTTTAGAGACAGAGTCTTGCTCTGTCTCCCAGGCTGGAGTGCAACAGTGCAATCTCGGCTCACTGCAACCTCTGCTTCCTGCCTCAGCCTCTCAAGTAGCTGGGATTACAGGCATGAGCCACCACGCCTGGCCACAATAGTCAGTTAATATAGCCCTTGGGTGGTACAAGGACATTTTTTTTTTTTAAAAACCAAGTCTGGCTCTGTCACCCAGGCTGGAGTGCAGTGGCATGATCCCAGCTCACTGCAACCTCTGCGTCCTGGGTTCAAGTGATTCTTCTGACTCAGCCACCCGAGTAGCTGGGACTACAGGCATGCACCAGCACACCTGGCTAATTTTTGTGTTTTTAGTAGAGACAGGGTTTTGCCATGTTGGCCAGGCTGGTCTTGAACTCATGGGCTCAAGTGATTGTCCTGCCTCAGTCTTCCAAACTGCTGGGATTACAGGCGTGAGCCACTGCGCCCAGCCTGGGACAAGCAAATTTTTTTTTTTTTTTTTGAGACGGAGTCTGGCTCTGTCGCCCAGGCTGGAGTGCAGTGGCCGGATCTCAGCTCACTGCAAGCTCCGCCTCCCGGGTTTACGCCATTCTCCTGCCTCAGCCTCCCGAGTAGCTGGGACTACAGGCGCCACCACCTCGCCCGGCTATTTTTTTTGTATTTTTTAGTAGAGACGGGGTTTCACCGTGTTAGCCAGGATGGTATTGATCTCCTGACCTCGTGATCCGCCCGTCTCAGCCTCCCAAAGTGCTGGGATTACAGGCTTGAGCCACCGCGCCCGGCCGGGACAAGCAAATTTTAACAAAAACAGCTCTTTGGCTGGGCGTGGTGGATCACGACAGGAGTTCAAGACCAGCCTGGCCAACATAGTGAAACCCTGTCTCTACTAAAAATAAAAAAAAAATTAGAGGGTGCCTGTAGTCCCAGCTACTTGGGATGCTGAGGCAGGAGACCCGCTTAAACCTGGGAAGTGGAGGTTGCAGTGAGCCGAGATCACGCCACTGCACTCCAGCCTGGGCAACACAGCCAGACTCTGTCTCAAAAAAACAAAAACAAAAACAAAAACAGCTCCTTACTGAATAACAAAGATGGCAAAACTACTGGAAATGCAAATGAGAATTCAGGCTTGGGCTGGGCACAGTGTCTCACGCCTGTAGTCCCAGCCCTTTGGGAGGCCAAGGTGGGTGAATCACTTCAGGTTGGGAGTTTGAGACCAGCCTGCCCAACATGACGAAACCCCATCTCTACTAAAAATACAAAAAATTTAGCTGGGCGTGGTGGCGGGTGCCTGTAATCCCAGCTACTCGGGAGGCTGAGGCAGGAGAATCACTTGAACCTGGGAGGCGGAGGTTGTGGTGAGCAGAGATAGCGCCATTACACTCCAGCCTGGAGACAGACTCCATCTTAAAAAAAAAAAAGACGAAAATTCAGGCTTGATGAACAGCATCCTTAAGTATATATATATTATATATTACAATTTATAATTACATATAACATAAATATAAGTATAATATATAATTTATAAAATATAAATATATAAAATACATATATATTATAAAATTATATAATATATAATTATTTATAATGTATATTTTATTTTTTATTTTATTTTATTTATTTATTTTTTTTGAGACGGAGTCTCGCTGTGTCTCCCAGGCTGGAGTGCAGTGGCGCGATCTCGGCTCACTGCAAGCTCCGCCTCCCGAGTTCACGCCATTCTCCCGCCTCAGCCTCCCAAGTAGCTGGGACTACAGGCGCCCGCCACCACGCCCAGCTAGTTTTTTGTATTTTTAGTAGAGACGGGGTTTCACCATGTTAGCCGGGATAGTCTCGATCTCCTGACCTCGTGATCCACCCGCCTCGGCCTCCCAAAGTGCTGGGATTACAGGCTTGAGCCACCGCGCCCGGCCTATAATGTATATTTTATTTTATTTTATTTTTTATTTTTTATTTTTTTTTTTTAAACGGAGTCTCGCTCTGTCGCCCAGGCTGGAGTGCAGTGGCCGGATCTCAGCTCACTGCAAGCTCCGCCTCCCGGGTTTACGCCATTCTCCTGCCTCAGCCTCCCGAGTAGCTAGGACTACAGGCGCCCGCCACCTCGCCCGGCTAGTTTTTTATGTATTTTTAGTAGAGACGGGGTTTCACCGTGTTCGCCAGGATGGTCTCGATCTCCTGACCTTGTGATCCGCCCGTCTCGGCCTCCCAAAGTGCTGGGATTACAGGCTTGAGCCACCGCGCCCGGCCTATAATGTATATTTTAATATATAATATATATATCCCCCTTTCACCATACATAATATTTTTTACACAGCAAAATGTAATAACTTGATAAATGCAGTAAGGATCCAAGCATTGATGGGGTAATGATAAGCCTTATTTGTGGCTTAGGTTTAAGTTCTTTTTTTTTCTTTTTGAGATGAAGTCTCTCTCGTTGCCCAGGCTGGAGTACAATGGTGTGATCTCGGCTCACCACAATCTCTACCTCCCAGGTTCAAGTGATTCTCCTGCCTTACCCTCACGAGTAGCTGGGATTACGGGCATACGGCACCATGCCCAGCTAATTTTGTATTTTTAGTAGAGGTAGGGTTTCTCCATGTTGGTCAGGCTGGTCTCAAACTCCCGACCTCAGGTGATCCACCCACCTTGGCCTCCCAAAGTGCTGGGATTACAGGCGTGAGCCACCGGGCCCAGCCAGATACACTGTCAATCCCAAAATAAAGTGTTCTATCCTTTAAAGCTGTTGGGGAGGGTAGAAGCAGTGGTCTTTAGCCCTTAGAAAGATGCCTTGGGGGAGGAGAATGGGGAGCAGAATTAACAAGAAAAAAAATATGGAAATAAGCCCTTTGATCTTCAGAGGTGGGGTCCACATTATTTTATTAGCGCCCATGTTTATATGAGGTTTATTTAAGTACCTCCTTGTCTATCGAGCATCTAAGAAAACTAAAATCATATGGTCCCAATGTCTTGGGAGGCTGCAGGTAACACATATGTGAAACTAGGGGGCAAATTAGGGCAGAATTAGGTTAGATTAATACATTACCAAGGCCCAGGGCGGTGGCTTACACCTGTAATCCCAGCACTTTGGGAAGCTGAGATGGAGGCAGGTGGATCCCTTGAGCTCAGGAGTTCCAGATCAGCCTGGGCAACATGGCAAAACCTCCTCTCTACCAAAAATACAAAAAATTTTAGCCAGGCATGGTGGCACGTGCCTATGGTCCCAGCTACTCAGGAGGTTGAGGTGGGAGGATCCCTCGAACCCAGGACAGGGAGGTTGCAGTGAACCACGATCACACCACTGCATTCTGGCCTGGGTGACAGACCGAGACCCTAAGAAAAAAAATAAAAGTAAATGAAAATTCATTATCAGACAGTAAAGCATGAACCCAGAGTGCTGGTCAAGTCACTGCAGGTCTGAGTGTATATCAAGGTTTCACTACGTAGGATGAAAAGCAGGCAATGAATCTCTGGCCTGGGTGTTGACAGTCTAGGCCCAAGCCTCAGCTTTCCCACTCACTAGCTTGCTGACCCTGGACAAGTCACTTACATTCTCTGAACTTACTCATGAAACGGAGACACATTTCATTTGCCTCTCGCAAGAAAAAGTCCTGGTAAATGCACATTAGCATTTCCGTTTCACACAGAACACTGAGAGTCAGATACTGTCCTAAGATCATGGAGTTAATAACCACCAGAACCTAGACTCAACACTTATTGGAACCTCAAATCTCATGCTTTTCTCATTGCACTTATGATTACTCCACTATGTAGGAGCAAGGGAGAGTTGAGAACATTTGAAGAGATTATGCAAAGGACCAGCTCTGCGGAGTAGGCTTAGCAAGTAACAGGAGGGAAAGTGACACCGTTCATCTGTGTAGCGGAGTGGGAGCCAAGAGACAAGGAGAAAGTTTCACGTTCGCCATGTGTCTCGGATATTCCCGCTTCTGCAGGGACGAGAACGCGCAGTTTCGCCTCCATCCCTTGACCTCCAACACAGCTTCTCCACTGGACCATCGGTGGCGATGAAGGGGCAGCTGCAGAAGGATGACAAACTGAAGCTTGACGGTGAATCCTAGGGTTTTAAGGAGAGAGCAAAGTCCTGAGACGGCGACGTATTGTCCCTGCTCACCAGTCCAGAATGAACAAACAGGAGCCAGCCAGGGATCAGCGAGCCAAAAATCCCGACGAGCCTCTGCAACCGCCATTTGCCATTCTCGCAAAGACTACCGGGACCACAATGCAACGGGGCGCCGAGTTAATTCCCAGCAGGCGAGGCGCCACCGACCGCGGAAGACTACAAGCCCCAGCGGGCTACGACGGAACGCGCCCGGGAACACCGGGCCCCCAGCTCGGGCCAGCGCCCGAGGATCATCCACGGGGCTAGATGGCTGCGTTGGGGGCGGGAGCGGAGGTGAGCGGGCGCTAGGGCCGTGCTCCCCCGCCGGCCCTTCCTCCAGCGCCCTGTGGACCCCGCAGAAGGCGCTCGCCTTCCTGGCCCGCAAACGCGTAATCGATTTTTCTCGCTGTGGCAACGGGGACGTCCCGAAAGATCCTCTGCTCCGACAGGCAACTTCGGCCTTCCCTGCCCTGACCTGGAACCTCTGGGAGGGCTGCAGAGTAAGTGCCGCCTCTGCGCTCTGACGGAGGCACGAGGCCTGCGGCGTAGGTCCCTCTGTTCTGACAGGTGCGACACTTAGCGCTCCATGCCTGCGGGCTCCGGGAGGCATGGCCTCCCCCAGGGCCGCCACCTCTGCTGGTTGCTCTGTGCTTTCACCTTAAAGCTCTGGTAAGGAGCGGGTAAGGGGAGGGAAAAGGAGGTCACTGGAGGACAGGATCGCTCCCGGCCCCGGGGTTGGGGGAGACCCTATCCATGGACAGCGCAGGAGGGGGTGCCCTATTTTCTGGATTTTGACTTTCGTCCCTTCCGCCCACTCCGCTGCAGTCAAGCAGAGGCTCCTGTGCAGGAGGAGAAGCTGTCAGGTGGGTGATTGTCTGGGAACCCGACACTTCCGTCATTTGTTTTTGGTTTTAGTATCTTCCCCATATACCAAGAGCACAGGTGGAAAAGGGCGGCACCACATGGAATGAGGGCAAGCGCTGTGCCGGGAATTTGGCTGGGCAGAGCCTTTGGGAGAAATGTTTTCTGAATGGTCTGGGATTGGCATTTATCTTTCCTTTCAGCGAGCACCTCAAATTTACCATGCTGGCTGGTGGAAGAGTTTGTGGTAACAACAGAGTGCTCTCCATGCTCTAATTTCCAGGCTGTGAGTATCTGTTTCTCTACCCCCCCCCGCCTTTTATTTTTTTTGGACATCCAAGCAAACACTTAAGCAACATGTTAACATCCAAGTCTTATTAAGCTGCCTTTGCATCATCTTTTTTTCTTTCTTCTTGCGGTCTCAGTGTATGTCCAAATCTGTACTTGCCTTTCCCCTGAAAATGTGCCCCTTTCTTTCCAAGCTAATGGCAGTATTCAACTGACAACTATGGTTTTTTTGTTTGTTTGTTTGTTTGTTTTTGAGATGGAGTCTCACTCTGTTGCCCAGGCTGGAGTGCAGTGGCGTGGTCTCGGCTCACCACGACCTCCACCTCCCGGGTTCAAGCGATTCTCCTGCCTCAGCCTCCCGAGTAGCTAACTGGGACTGAAGGCGCGTTCCACCTTGCTTGGCTAATTTTTGTATTTTTAGTAGACTCGGGTTTCACTATGTTGGCCAGGCTGGTCTCTTAACTCCTCACTTCATGATCTGCCTGCCTCAGCATTCCAAAGTGCTGGGATTACAGGCGTGAGCCACCGTGCCTGGCCTCAGATGATAACTATGTTTTATTCACTTTTAGTATAGTAGGCTCTGGAATGGAATGTATGCTTGCCTCTCTTAGATTGTTGCCTCTGAAGTGTTCTAACATGCAGCCACCACCTCCACCATCCGCATCAGAACTCTTTCATTAGCTCTCTGTTGCCTACCACTCCAAACCATAATAGTTGGGCACCTGCACCTTCTGAATGGCAGCCTTTTTGTTTCTCTGTTGCCCCTTCCTAACATGTACTTTGCTCCTTTTCTCCTGGCAGAAAACTACCCCTGAGTGTGGTCCCACAGGGTATGTAGAGAAAATCACATGCAGCTCATCTAAGAGAATTGAGTTCAAAAGGTGAGTGCTGTTTCTCTTCTCTGGATCACCTCCTTTGCTCCTATGACTTTAGATGGATGGTCCCACCTTTTCCCCTGGTCTGGCGGTAGCATGGAATATTTGAAAGAAGAGGTGGCCGGGCTCACACCTATAATCCCAGCACTTTGGGAGGCTGAGGCTAACGGATCACCTAAGGTCAGGAGTTCAAGATCAGCCTGGCCAACGTGGTGAAACCCCATCTCTACTAAAAATACAAAAATTAGCCGGTGTGGTGGTGGGTGCCCATAATCCCAGCTACTTGGGAGGCTGAGGCAGGGAGAATCGCTTGAACCTAAGAGGCAGAGGTTAAAGTGGGCCAAGATCATGCCACTGCACTCCAGCCTGGGTGATAGAGCGAGACTGTGTCTCAAAAAAAAAAAAAAAAAAAAAGGCCGGGAGGGGTAGCTCACACCTGTAATCCCAGCACTTTGGGAGACTGAGGCGGGTGGATCACGAGGTCAGGAGTTCAATACCGGCTGGCCAAGATGGTGAAACCCCGTCTCTATTAAAAATTCAAAAATTAGCCGGGCTTGATGGCAGGCACTTGTAATCCCAGCTACTTGAGAGGCTGAGGCAGAGAACTGCTTAAACCTGGGCAGGGGAGTGGTGTGACCTCAGTGAGCCAAGGTCACACCACTGCACTCCAGTCTGGGTGACAGAACGAGACACCATCTCAAAAATAAGAAACAAGGAAGATGGGATTTGGAACCAAATTACTTGAATCCAAGTTCCAGCTCTATTCCTCAGCACTATGTTATTGGCCATATTTTCTCATCAGTAAAATTAGTTAATACTAGCTCTGCTTATCCAGAGAATAAATTAAATGATCTATTTGAGAGGGATTTGTGTACTATACACACACCAGAAGCCTGGCTCTGATTTCCTCTTGAATATATCCTGGCTAGGCTGAAGTAGAAGGGAGATTAGAAGGAGAAGCTGTCTGGCCTTCCCTGGGAATAACTATTCCTTCCTGCCCTCAGCTGCCGCTCAGCTTTGATGGAACAACACTTATTTTGGAAGTTCGAAGGGGCTGTTGTGTTTGTGGCCCTGATCTTCGCTTGTCTTGTCATCATTCGTCAGCGACAACTGGACAGAAAGGCTCTGGAAAAGGTCCGGAAGCAAATCGAGTCCATATAGCTACATTCCACCCTTTTATCCTGGGTCTTAGAGACCCAATCTCAGACAGTGAAAGTGAAATGGACTGATTTGCACTCTTGGTTCTTTGGAGCCTTGTGGTGGAATCCCCTTTTCCCCGTCCTCTTCTTTCAGATCATTAATGAGCAGAATAAAAAGAGTAAAATGGTTTCCTTCCCTTCTGTAACTTGGAGCAGGAAGTCATAGGGGCAGAGAGGGAAAGGAGGCGGCTACTTAAGGCCCTAATCTACCAAGTCTTCCCCACCACTTCTCCCTTGTTTTCCCCCTCTTCTACTACTTGTATCAGACTTCTGGGATACAATTTCAGTTAAAACGTTTATTTATCACTCAAAACTTATTTCCCCTCAACCCTATCCCCAAAGAAGAAATAAAATCATAGATACATAACAAAAGTATTTGAGGTACCCTTTCATATATGCAAACAAATGCAGACTGGGCCTCAGGCAGAGAGAGACTAAAGGACATCTCTTGGGGTGTCCTGAAGTGATTTGGACTCCTGAGGGCAGACACCTAAGTAGGAATCCCAGTGGGAAGCAAAGCCGTAAGGAAGCCCAGGATTCCTTCTTGTGATCAGCAAGTGGGCCAGGAAGGTCTGTTCCAGCTCACATCTCATCTGCATGCAGCACGGTCCCGATGCGCCCACTGGGTCTTGGCTTCCCTCCCATCTTCTCAAGCAGTGTCCTTGTTGAGTCATTTGCATCCTTGGCTCCAGGTGGCTCCCTCAGTCTGGACTCTACCACTTGGGTCTCCAGATTTTCTGTTATGTCCTTGTGGGTCAGGATATTTCTGGAAGTCACTGTGAGGTGAAGGAGAGAAGGCAGTAGTAGAGTGCTCCCCTGGGTGGGAGACCCTAGACAGGACAGGACCTCCCTTTTGCTTCTTGACGACCTTGGAGAACATAGTCCCCATCCCTTGCTCAGCCAGGGGTTGCTCCCTGCCCTTGCCTCTCACCTCCGTGAGGCTGGTAATCCTCAGGCCCAGCTTCTGGTCGACCCTGGAATGGACTGAAGCTGGGCAGGATGATGAGAGCCAGGGAAAAAAGAAGAATCTGGGAGGAAGCAAGAGGAACAGAGGAAGGGAGTAGGGGGCAGAGTGAATGGAGGCCAGCTGGGGTTATCAGATGTGGGAAGTAGATCTGGCTGGGTAGTCGGGGTATAAGGATAGAAGTGTGGGGGAAGATGGTGGACGTGGGGGCAGATGGGAGTAGATAGACTAATGGTACCAGAACACAAGTGCTGGTCTGGGCGGCTTTGTTGGAAGTTTGAGCAATTAGCGTCTGCAGCTGGCGGAGCTGAGCTACCAAGGAGCTGGGAAAGGAGGAATGAAGAGTTAGTATCTTCTGGGTACCAGGAGCCAAGAATGGTGCCCCTGTGTGCTGTACCCGCCTTTAAAACACACACACACAATGCTTTCACTCACATATTGTGCCTCTCCAGCTCCTGGACTTTTTTCTGTAATTCTTGGTTCTGTGCAGAACAGGCTGCCACCCTAGAGTGTGGGGAGGTAGGACAAGGCTCAGCAACCTAAGTCCCTTACTTTCCCTGCCGTGGTGAGGAAGGGGCCCAGACATGGCCCACAGGAAGCCAGAAATAATCCAGGCATACCTGCTCTCCAGCCCATCAATGTACTCCTTCTTCCGCCGCCGACTGTCCTGAGCTGACTGCTTGTTACGGATTTTCCTCCTGACCTTCTTGAGGACCCTCTCCTCTGCCTGGAGGCCCAGGATGTGTGAGTCCTGGGTCCTTCACCTGCCCCCAACTCCCCAGTGCTTCTCCTGGGATATTGGCCAGGTCAACCCAGGTGAGGCCCCTGGGTTGGGATACCCTTAGGGGAAGCATGTTACCTTGGTGAGGGGCAGGTGAGAGGGCAGAGAAACCCCTTCCTGCCCCAGCAGACGCTTCTCCTCATCCGTCAGGAACAGGGTTTGACAGGGCAGCTGGGGATAGGGGCAGGAGAAGATGCAATAGGATTGAGGAGGGGGTCATGCCATTTGCAACACCCAGGCTACTCCCTCTACATGCCTTCTGGAGAGTGCTTCCTATTTGCACTGGGAGACAACTTTAATCTAGAGGTGAGGTGAGGGGCAGAGACCTTAATTCCAACAGGTTCTAGATCAAGCCAAAGGGACTTCCTGAGGCCAAGAAGGGAGAGAGGAGGGTATTGTCATATCCTTCACCCAGAGACTTAGGACCTTGGCACCCTGAGCAAGCTAGGGAAGGCTTATTCTGGTCCATGTCTCCCCATACCCAAGAGAACCTGAAAGAACTCACTACAGTGAAGTTTACATAATTTCCTTACAGCAAGCACATGATTCACTTTCAGCCATTAACTTCCATTTAGCAGAGTGTGTTATTCAGTTGCGTGTCAACCACAGGGAATTCCCTGGGGCAGTGGCCTATTCTCCCCTAGGGTCTGAGCTCCGCTTCTCAGACTAAGGTTCTGTCCCCTCTCATACGAAGCTTCCCAAAGGCAGCCATACGTCTCACAGCAAATCACAAGAGAGGATGCAGGGAGAGTAGATGGTGCTGGTGGTGAACCTGAGCCCATCAACTGAGTAACTTGCCTTTCTCACTAGTATTTCTTTTTGAAAGATGTATACGTGGCTGGGCTCACGCTTGTAATCCCAGCACTTTGGGATGCCAAGGTGGGCGCATTACCTGAGACCAGCCTGGCCAACATGGTGAAACCCTGCCTCTACTAAAAATACAAAAATTAGGCCAGGCGCGGTGGCTCACGCCTGTAATCCCAGCACTTTGGGAGGCCGAGGCAGGCGGATCACGAGGTCAGAAGATCGAGACCATCCTGGCTAATAACATGGTGAAACCCTGTCTCTACTAAAAATACAAAAAATTAGCCGGGCGTGGTGGTGGACACCTGTAGTCCCAGCTGCTCAGGAGGCTGAGGCAGGAGAATGGCGTGAACCCAGGAGGCGGAGCTTGCAGTAAGCCAAGATTGTACCACTGCACTCCAGCCTGGGCGACAGAGCGAGACTCCATCTCACTGCACTCCAGCCTGGGTGACAGAGCGAGACTCCATCTCAAAAAAATTAGCTGGGCATGGTGGCACGAGCCTGTAGTCCCAGCTACTCAGGAGGCTGAGGCAGGAGAATCGCTGCAACCTGGGAGGCAGAGGTTGCAGTAAGCTGAGATACACCAATACCCAGCCTAGTGACATAGAGACTCTGTTTTTTTTTTTTTTTTTTTTTTTTTTTTTGAGACGGAGTCTTTGCTCTGTCGCCCAGGCTGGAGTGCAGTGGCACGAACTCGGCTCACTACAAGCTCCGCCTCCCGGGTTTACGCCATTCTCCTGCCTCAGCCTCCCGAGTAGCTGGGACTACAGGCGCCCGCCACCTCGCCCAGCTAGTTTTTTGTATTTTTTAGTAGAGACGGGGTTTCACCGTGTTCGCCAGGATGGTCTCGATCTCCTGACCTTGTGATCCGCCCGTCTCGGCCTCCCAAAGTGCTGGGATTACAGGCGTGAGCCACCGCGCCCGGCCAAGAGACTCTGTTTTTTTAAAAAAAAAAGATTCTAAGATGCTTAACTTGGCTTTTGGTCCCAGCTTCAACTGCAGATTTGAAGAGAGGCTAGGACCTGGTCCCTGCCTTTTGGGTACAAGGAGTAATTTTCAGAGGAAAGGGAGGAACAGTGATCTGAGCACAGCCCCCTCTTTACCTGGCCTTGGACTCTGCCCAGCCGGCCTTGAGAAGGCATCTAATGTGATACCTCTGCTACACTGTAGCACTAGCCAGTGGGTGCCTCCTGGGCAACTGTTCCAGTGGAAACATTGCTGCTATTGTTTTTCTTCCTTCCCGTACCTATAACTAGTTGGGATTCCCAGGTGGCCTGTCCCATTTCTGTGTCCTGACCCAAGGCCGAGATAATGGCTCTGGCTAAGAATACAATGCACACAAAGTCTGGGCTTTCTCCTGAGCCCTGTCCCCAGATTCCCTCACCCCACCTTAACTGAGTTGTTGCTACCTTACCCACAAGGGTTCTCTCTCTCTTGTCCTTTCCTGCTTTTAAAATTGTTCATGTTGGGTTGGGCGCGGTGGCTCACACCTGTAATCCCAGCACTTTGGGAGGCTGAGGCAGGCGGATCACAAAGTCAGGAGTTCAAGACCAGCCTGGCCAATATGGTGAAACCCCGTCTCTACTAAAAATACAAAAATTAGCCAGGTGTGGTAGCAGGCACCTGTAGTCCCAGCTACTTGGGAGGCTGAGGCAGGTGAATCACTTGAACCCAGGAGGCGGAGGTTGCAGTTGAGCTGAGATCGTGCCACTGCACTCCAGCCTGGGTGACAGAGTGAGACCCCATATTGTTCATGTTGGCCGGGCACCATGGCTCATGCCTGTAATCCCATCACTTTGGGAGGCTGAGGCAGGGAGATCGCTTGAACTCAGGAGATTCAGACGAGCCTGAGCCTGGGCAACATGGCGAAACCCCAAAACCCCATCTCTACCAAAATTAGCCAGACGTGGCACACACCTGTAGTCCCAGCTACTCAGGAGGCTGAGGTGGGAGGATTGCTTGAGCCCAAGACATTGAGGATGCAGTGAGCCATGACTGCACCACTGCACTCCAACCTGGACGACAGAGTAAGACCCTGGCTCAGAAAATAAAAAATTGTTCAACTGTTCATGTCTCCTTGGTCTTCAGACCCAATGCCACAAAAACTGGGGCAAAGGCAGTTCATCATCAGTTTCCCTTCCCTCATCCCTTTGCCCTGTCTGTGTCATTACATATGTATCAAGGAGTAGTGGTTCTGGCTGACACCAAGACTCACCAGGGTTGTACAAGGCACTGGGGCTAAGGTGCCTGTTCTGGGCAAGATGTGGGCATGAGCATCAAAGGGCAGCTCACTGACCATGCAGGAATCAGGTACCATAAATGCTGGGCTCCACTGATCTGGAGTAGAAAACAGGTAGCTGGGAGAAAGGATACTTAGGGACCCTGACAGCAGCAGGGCCTGGGTAGTGGCACAGGTTGGGTAAACCCCCTTAACCCCATGGTTAGGGCCAGTCTCAAAGGGCCATTTTCCCCTTCCCACAAAGAACACTGACCTAGCTGGATGGAGATGAGGCCTACAGTTGGCCCAGTTTCCCCCTGCATCCTCTCCAGGGCCCCTGCCTCATAGACAACTTCATAGAGCGTAGGAGAACTGGTTGCCCTGGGGGCAGGGGGACTGTCTGGACGGCAGGGGTCCTCAGAGGTGCCACTGTCATTGCCAGGAGATGCTTCTGAGCAGTACACCTCATTGGGATCAATGAAAAGCTTCAAGAAATCTTCAGGCTCACTCTCTTGAAGGCCCTACAGTAGGAAAAGGTTATATATATGTGCGGGGAAGAATTTTGGAAGTCCTACCTGACATCAGCCTTATGCTTCATTTTCAGTCCTTTCACTTCTTGGGCATGGAGATAGTTATTATACAACTTACATCTATTTTCGGGGTGGTCTGTTTTCAGACCTGTCTCCAAGTGGGAGCTGAAGCCTCTTACAACAGAGTTGTGTCTCAACCCCACCCCAACTCCCACTCGTCACACTCACACAGCCATGGTCCCCACCGGACTTCCAGCCTTGCAGTCCCTGTTCCTGTAGCCTAGTCACCGGAACCTCTGGAGGGGGGCAGTGGAGTCCCAGCTCCAGGACGGATCCTGTCGAGAAGATATCCTCTGGGGGCTCCAGCCACGCGTCCAGCAGGTCAGGGATACCGAGATCCATGCTTCTGCAGGAAGGCGTGTGAGACGGAGGGTTGCAGAAAGGGAATGATGGCTGCTTCCTACACCCTACAGTTTCTGGGCTCCTCTGCTCCCTCTTCCATTATCCCCGCTCCCCCGCCCCCCGCGCTTTCTCACTAGCAAGCCCCCTCACCTGTCCCCTGGATATTTCACCTTCAGCCCTATCCCTCACGTTCAGACAAACAGGCCCCCCAAGCATTACCTGTTCTGAAGAGTCCAGCCCTGTCAAGCCAGCGTAGCCCGTTGACCGCCCCAAACACAACACCTTTTCTTTCTTCCAGGATCTCGTATCCTGGACCTGCCCAGCCAAACCCCGCCCCCATTCTTACACTACAAAAGTGGGTGACACCTTGCCAGGAGCCACGGTAGGGCCGCTGTATCTGGGAGTAGGGAACTAAGAGTCTGAGGGTCCACAAACGGAATTTAAGAAGTAGGTATCCGCGCCCTTTCTGCTTCAGTTTTCTCTTAGCTATAGTAAATCTTCCCCAGGGTTTGGTGTCTCCTAGCGGAAGAATAGAAAAGGCTGTGACTGGAGCACAGGATATTTGAATGCCTGTTCTCTAGCCCTCGCTTTTTCAACAGTGAGATCACAACGGGGTTGTAAACAAAGGCGGAAAAGTCAAAAGACCTGCGGATTTACTGGGCATCCTCTCGCCCACCGCGTGGCGCTCTTCCCAAAGCTGAGTCCTGATTGGAAGCTAAAGACTTAGGTTTCGGAAGGGCAGGACATCGAGCCAATGGGCACTACCCTCTCAAGGCCGCCTCCTCCGTAACTGGTCGGAGACAGCTAGGCTGTTCAGAAGAGTCAGGCCAATGGGGCCGCAGTTCTTTTTTTTTTTTTTTTTTTTTCTTTATTCTTATTTTTGTAGGTAGGGTCTCGCTCAGTTGCCCAGGCTGGAGTGCGGTGGTGCGATCACGGTTCCATGCAGCCCCCGACCTCCCGGGCTCAGGTGATTCTCCCGCCTCAGCACCTCGAGCAGCTGGGGCCACAGGCGCGCGCCACCGCGTCCGGCCGGCGGGACTGACTTGTCAGGCGGGGATTGGGTTCCGCCGGACCAAAGGGAGGGGTAAGCGCCAGAATATGAATCGCCAGGAAGCTGGGGGAAAGCTACGGGAAACCCTGAGCAGCCTGGTTTGTTTTCGCGCGCCACGTGACTCGGAAGCTCCGGTTTCACCCAGGCGGGGAGTCAATAGCCCACTGACCCCAGTGGAACGGTGAGCCTCGCTCGGCAGGCCGCAGGCGCGCGATGGCAGATTTCCCCGTCCGCAGGCCGAGCAGTGTGGCGTTGATGGAGAACCGCAACTGCGCGCACATGCTCGCTGCACGCTGCTCATTCGCGGAGGGGACACCGGGCAGGAAAACTGCAACAAGTTAAAAAGGCTTTTGCGTTTGTTTTGTTGTCTTATTGTTTGCATACAGTTACCAGGAACATTATGTCCCACATTTGTATAATTTACAAAACGTTTTCATAAACATTGTTCTCTTCCTTAATCCATAACGGTTCTGAGGCACACACGGCGGGTAGTATTTTGCAAATTTTACCTGTGAGGAGGCAGATCCATGACTTGAAAGCAGTAATACCAAAACTCAGGGTTGATTGATTTTTTTATTTTTATTTTTAGCTTTGGTCTAATGTCTCATGGTCCAGGAATTCACTTCAAGTAAAATAATGGAGGTTAACTGATACAGGTATGGTTTTCCAGTAGTATTTCAGAAAAGGGTAGCTGGGTGAGCAAAACAGTAGTTTGGAGTGTGAATCCCAGAACTCAAACTGCTGTTAATAATCCTCATGAAGATTTGAACGAGCTAAGACTAAAAACAGGAACAGGGTCTAGTCAGGCATTTTCATGTTACTCATATAGTTCTTACAGCAAATAGAGCTGACAAATTTTTGTTTTTGTTTTTTTTCTCTTTTGAGACGGAGTCTCGCTCTGTCGCCCAGGCTGGAGTGCAGTGGCAAGATCTCCGTTCACTGCAAGCTCCGCATCCCGGGTTCACGCCATTCTCCTGTCTCAGCCTCCGAGTCGCTGGGACTACAGGCACCTGCCACCACGCCCGGCTAATTTTTTGTATTTTTAGTAGAGACGAGGTTTCACCGTGTTAGCCAGGATGATCCTGATCTCCTGACCTCGTGATCCACCCGCCTCGGCCTCCCAAAGTGCTGCGATTACAGGCGTGAGCCACCGCGCCCAGCCCCAATGTACATATATTTCAAAACATCATGTTGTACACCATAAATATATACAACTATTAGCCATATATGACATATCTGTATGTGTGTGTATATATATATATTTGACAACTATAAAGGTAGAGCTTGGACCAGAGTCCAGGTTTCCTCACCCCTCCAGTCATAATTCCTTGTTAATGTTACCAATTACGAATAATTTTTTTTTTTTTTTTTTTGAGATGGAGTCTCGCTCTATCACCCAGGCTGGAGTGCAGTGGTCCACGGTCTCTGCTTACTGCAAGCTCCGCCTCCCGTGTTCAAGCCATTCTCCTGCCTCAGCCTCCCAAGTAGCTGGGACTACAGGCGCCTGCCACCACACCCAGCTAATTTTTTTGTATTTTATTTTATTTAGTAGAGACGGGGGTTTCACCGCGTTAGCCAGGATGGTCTGGATCTCCTGACCTCGCGATCCGCCCGCCTCGGCCTCCCAAAGTGCTGGTATTACAGGCGTGAGCCACCGCGCCTGGCCAATTTTTTGTTTGTTTGTTTGTTTTGAGACGGAGTCTCGCTCTGTCGCCCAGGCTGGAGTGCGGTGGCGAGATCTTGGCTCACTGCAACCTCCGGCTCCCGGGTTCAAGCCATTCTCCTGCTTCAGCCTCAGCCTCCCAAGTAGCTGGGATTACAGGCATCCGCCACCACGACCGGCTAATTTTTGTATATTTAGTCAGACGGGGTTTCACCATGTTGACGAGGCTGGTCTTGAACTTCTGACCTCAGGTGATCCACCCTCCTCGGCCTTCCAAAATGCTGGGATTACAGGCGTGGACCACCGCGCCCAGCTCCTTACGAAGTCTTCACATTCCTCTTTTACTTAAGGAATTACTGGGCTTCGTTTCTGGAGCCTTGTGAGAAGCATTACACTGTTCCTTTTTTTCTTTCTTTCTTTCTTTTTTTAAAATTAATTTTGCTGTAGGAAGCAAGATCCCATCTCCTTCTTTAGACAATGAAGCTTTTTTCACCTTTGCATAAAAGAATAGCTTGGCCCCCTTTTTAAATTTTCTTTTGTCTTTACCGTCCTTTGAGGCTAGAAGAGGATTCTCATAGCACAGGGTTGCGAGTCACGAGAATCCAGGTTGAGGAAACGGTGAAAGTCCTGAGCTGAAACAACTACCTTGGGGCATTCAAGGAACAGCAAACAGCAAGCAGACCGGCGAGGGTGGCGGGAGCTGGGCTGGAGATCAGGTGGGAGAGCTGGCCAGATGCCCGCAGGCGCGGTGCGCAGGTAGCCTGGAATGCGCTGGGGGCTCTTCCCTGGGCGTGGCTTCAGCACCCCGCATTCCGGTCCCACCACGTCCCCACCCACCTGGAGAAGGCGGAGGCTGCACTGAGTGTCAGGAGTAGTCGAGAAGAGATGATTTTCAAAACATACCCTCTCTCTTTGCTTTCCCCGCTTTCCAATTCTGCTTTGTCTTTTTCCTTGTTGTGGGTGCTGGCGAGGGAAAGCAGGCAAGGAAATTGGTGACAAGAAGGGAATGCCTTCCCTTGGGCGCCAAGAGGCACTGACGGGGTGTCAGAGCCTTCTGAGAGACAGATGAGACTTTGGCCCAAGGCCAGGAACATGTCTTCAGATGTAGGCCGGAAGACTTGACAGTGCGGGGTCTCCCTCTTTTAAAAATATCCATATAATCAAAGCCTTTGTTGACCAGCCCGCTCTGGCCCGTCGTCAGTCCTCCACAGATGCGCCCCAGGGGACCAGCCCCGAGGTCCTTTTCCTAATCTCCGCCCTCGCTCTCGCTCACTCTCCTCTCGTCGCCTGCTCCGCCCGCTCCCGCTCCCGGTCTCTGATTGCTACTAACTCACGTCACTCCCGGTCTGTCCCCGCCCACTCGGCTCTGCCATTGGCAGTCGGGCGTGGGTACGCGGCTTCTGTGGGGGAGGGGGGAGCTATGCAAAGGGGCGGGAATTCCCGACTGTAGGCCGGAAGCGCGCGGAGACCATGTAGTGAGACCCTCGGGAGGTGAGTGCGGGCTCTCTGGGAGCGGGGTCCAGGTCGGGCTGCCCAGGCCTCCCCGGGCCCGGGAGCAGGAGTCCCAGTTCACGTATTCTTCATCTGCTTCCCGCGACGCTGGCGGCCTCGCACCCCGCCTCCTGGAGCCCGGACTTTCAGGCACCGCCCTCAGTGTCGCCTTAGTCCGTCCCGGGACCGCAGACTCTTAGGGCCCCTCTCCTTGGCCATCTGCCTCTAGGTCCCAGCCTGGGGCCTGAAGCGCTTGCTCTCTATGCTGGGAAAAGGGGAACGATGGAGCGATCCAGCACCCAAACTTACCCTGTCCAGGCGAGCCACGAAGATACCCATGACATCTCTGCACAGCCCCAGCCTTTTTGGCTTCACCCACTCCGTTCGGGAGTTGGGGACCTGGCCTCTACATTCCTTAGGGGAACTCCAGCTCCAGGTCCTATTAGGAGGCGGCTCCTAGTTTCCTAGTTCGCTGGGGGCGCCAGGTGAAAGGGTGATGAGATACCCATACAGCCTTTCCCAGGCCTAGTTTTCCCCCTTGCAGTCTCCCTGAATAAGTCACTTGGGAAAGAAAGTGTGAGAAGAGAGGAATGTTCCTGGTACAGGAGTAGATGAGTCACCCTGGGTTGGGGAAGGTCACAAAGTGGCTGGGGCCAGGGAGCTGCACTCTGCTGACCAAGCTTCTCCATTCCTTGCCCCATCTTCCCTTGCATGATTTTTCCCCAACCACTGTGGTCTGTCTTCCTAGGTCTGAGAGTCACTGGAGCTACCAGCAGCACCATGGGGCCCTGGGGAGAGCCAGAGCTCCTGGTGTGGCGCCCAGAGGCGGTAGCTTCAGAGCCTCCAGTGCCTGTGGGGCTGGAGGTGAAGTTGGGGGCCCTGGTGCTGCTGCTGGTGCTCACCCTCCTCTGCAGCCTGGTGCCCATCTGTGTGCTGCGCCGGCCAGGAGCTAACCATGAAGCCTCAGGTAAACCTCTCCTTTTCCCCACACTCCTAGGAATGCTTGGCTTAGGGAGGGCTCTGGGGCTGTGGGGAGTGACCAAAGGAGGAGGGAAAGGCAAGGGTAGCCATTGTTTGGGTTGGGGTGGTGGGCCCTGGAGGGGGTTTGTTTGCTCATTCTCCTCTGTGCTTAACCCCTACCCAGCTTCCCGCCAGAAAGCGCTGAGCCTAGTAAGCTGTTTTGCGGGAGGCGTCTTTTTGGCCACTTGTCTCCTGGACCTGCTGCCTGACTACTTGGCTGCCATAGATGAGGCCCTGGCAGCCTTGCACGTGACGGTGAGCGCTGACCTGGACATGTGACATGCGGGAGGGAAATCACACACCTCTAGGAGTGTTGGTTTGTGGAGATCGATTCATGTGCCACTCCGTGACTTTGTGGAAGGCTCTTGGCATGTGATATGAATAGTGATTTTTGGTTATGGGGCATAATTCTTTCTGTGTTCCCTCCCCCTTCCCCATTCCCTGTGTGACCCCTACATGCCCTTTGAGACAGTAAGACATTTTTTCTCAGGTGTGTGACTTTCTCTGTGGGTTCTCAGTTCTAGCTACCAACAAGTGCTCCAAGAATCATCTTCACTCTCTCACCACTTTCCTTTTTTTTTTTTTGAGGCGGAGAGTGCAGTGGCCAGATCTCAGCTCACTGCAAGC